TCTGGGTACTTTCTTCCTCTTCCTTTCACATTGGGGTTCATTTGCTTTAAGCTCATTCCGGAAGGACCTCAACAGACGCAGCTAAATGTTCGTTTCTATGAGCAGAAAATAGAAGAGAACACATTTTATGTTTCAATGGAACTGAGCAAAATATGGATCAATATGATACATACCACAAAGAAGTAACTAAACGTTCATTTCTATGAGCAGAGAATTGAAGAGAGTAGATTTAATGTTTCTATGGATATGAACAGATACAAATTGGCTACTTTGAACATGTCCATATGAGATGTACCTCGAGGCAGTAAATGATCATTTCTATGAGCTGAAAATGGACGAGAATAGATTTTATGTTTCCATGGACCTGAACAAAACGAGCTGCCTACTTCTAACTTGTCGATATAAATGGACCTCAACATATTGATACCATTCGGCTACTTCTAACTTATTGATATGAAATGGACCTCGACGAGACAACAAAATGTTTATTTCTATGAGCTGAAATTGAAGTGAATAGGTTTTATATTTCTATAAATCAGAACAAATATGAATCTACTACTGTAACACATCGATATGAAAGAAGCAGGGTCTCTCTCTCTCGAAATAAATCACTACTTAGAAGATGATAATGGTTGTCAGCGTCACTAACTCAAAATAAAAGCATAAAAGAAGAAATAAATCAATTATTTGAGATTAGTGACACATTCACCAGAAACTATGACATCTCCCATGGTCACGGATTTACGACCAGTGTGGTGTGAAAATAGCTCAAGGTCCTTTACTAGCAGACCTGCAACTCAAGCAGCCGAATGGTTCATTGGTTCAGGGGAGCTTTTTCATAATAATGTCAAACAACAAATGCAGAAACAACTCTGACATTGTTAATACCAAGTTCATATATGTTCTTAATATAATAGCAATGATAACCTCCAATGGAGGCCGATTTTATAAATTGACACAAAATCAAAATAATTTATTCATTCAGTTACACCATTAAACCCAATAAAACAACGATTATATAGAAACCAAATCCAGTGAATTTGACAATTAAGATGTTTTCAAATAAAAATAAGAAAGTAGAAATAACATAAAAGGAAAACTGAAATAGAAAATAACAGAATGTTGCGTATTTATCGATGTATTTGAAGGCCAAATCGGCGATGCAAGCTACAATTGGTTGAGAAATCTCCATACCGTTTCTCTTAGCTGTGCTTCAATTAGTTGAAGATTTGAAAATTCAATTCAGTCCATAACGGAAATTCTGTAATATTTTATTTAAGAATAATAAGTTGGAAATAAGAAACGGAATTGGGTGAAAAACGGACCTTCGTATTCGGCGATGGAGATGGCAGAGAGATGAAAGCGATCTCTCAAGAGATCAGAAACTGAGTCATCGTCTTCCTCTTCATCTTTCTCGAAATCGCTCCTACCTACATCGATTTCCATTTTCGAATCTAGGGTTATAATTTCCCGACCTTGATAATAAGATGTAAATATTAAAACAACAATCTGAATAACTGAAAACTAGCCTCGTCGGTGAAAATGAAAATAGAGGTCAAGAAAGATGAATCAAGAAAAGGAGGTCAAGGAAGATGAAAAGGGAGAAGATGAAAAGAGAGATACCTGAGAAGACGACTTCTCGCCTCGCCGGTGAGAAGGAGGCCACTGGATCAATCGATTTTTCGGTGTGGAGCAAGGGACGGGAGAACAAAGCTTCTTCTCGTTGTGGAGCAAGGGACGAGAGAAAGATGGAAAACAACTTACCCTTTTCCAAACGGCAAGTCATTTTCCCGTGTTTTCCTCTCCCTTTTCCATTGACTGTAAAACAAAATACGTTGACTTTGGTGTTTTACGGGAACCAAACACAGGAAAACGGGGAAAACATTTTCCGTAAAATATTTTCCTCCAACCAAACAGATCCAGACAATTTTGGATTAGGAAAACACTTAGACAAAATCCTTCCAAATCCATTCTTTATGTGATAGATAAAGGCAAAATTTTGTTCGATTGGTCAATGTTGTAATACTTACTGTTTTATCATAGTAAACTAACGTCTAACGATACTCAAAACATCAAGGAGATAACGATTCTATCTTAAGGAGACTATTCATACATGTCTCAAAAAAAATATTCTTCTATTTATTCGGTTCTGTTCATCTGATTACTTGTCTACATACGAGTAAACAATCTTGTTCCTCTATATTAATTTTATATTTATTCAACTTTATTTCATTCAATAATAATATATGCTTATTATTATTATTTTAATTTTTTGATTAACTTTTTTTTAACAAATTGTACAACATATAAAGTGATAATTAACTTATAATTCAAGATTAATGAGATATTAAATTGTTTAAAAATACAGTATACCAATTAATTTAGTTGGTGTTTTTGTTATTATAATATTGATAAGATTGTGAGTTTGAACTCATTAAGTAAATGCAGTGATAAAAGATAAAGTTTTTCTTTTTATAAATTTTGAGTTTGAACAGTTATATTTAGAATGTGTGTAAGTATTAATTGACAATTGACTAATAAATTTCAATGAATATATATTCCATTATAATCCTCACAAACTAATAAAGAAAAGCTTGAGCTTATATATACTTAAAAATAAATTATTTTTAATTTAAATAATTAAAATTATATCTAATTTAAACATCGTAATTTTTACTTTTATATAAATATATAATCAAATTAGTTGATAAAACAATAAGAGAAACTAATCTCAAAGATATATATATATATATTAGAAAATATATAAATTTTAAAATAATAAATAGTGTAGGAAGTTGTAGAGTTATAAAAGATTTAAATTTAAAATTTTAAGAAATTTAAATTTTAAATTCCAAAATTTGAAAATATGAAACATGTGATATTAAGTCTACTCAATCTATATATCATATAACATTGAATTATTAAGTCTACTCAAGTTATAGAGCATGGGGTTTTGGCTCAACCCGAGCACAACTGAAATTCCGGAGTTACGCCAGTAAATCGATTTGGGGTTTCAAATTGAGCTAAAAGCTCATCAGAAAAATGGACAACCTATCGAATGCGTTTTCGGTGCTGGAGATTGACGTTGAAGACCATCATCCCCCTTCCGCTTCCAAAGTTCCAGGTCCGCCGATCTTCTTTCGTCCTTCATTCACTGCCTTTGAGTTTAGGGTATTTTTAAGCTCCTCGGAAGGAATTTATTTCTTTGAATCATTTGGATTTAGGGGGTGTACTTCTATTTAATCAAAATTGATTCTGTGGAACGCTTTTTAATATCTAATTTAGGGCATTAAGAATATGGTGATGAACTGAAAGGTATTTTGCTGTAGACTGTAATCCGATGTTATTTCTCATAGAGTGATGTTTGCCTTCCCCTTACAGGTAAGAGCAAAGGGAACGGCAAGGGCTCAACTGAATTGAAACCGGCATCACTTTCCGAGAACTACAAGTTACCCCTTGTGTGGATTGACTTGGAAATGACTGGTAAGAATACCAAATGCTGTTTATCACTAATTTTACTTGCTTCAGTGGTGGATTAAGAATGCCATTCATATCATCTATGTAGGTTTGGATATTGAGTTTGATAGAATATTGGAGATCGCTTGTATAATTACAGATGGAAATCTTGTCAAATCATTGGAGGTATCTGTCTCTCTCTCTTATTTTCTTGATTTAGGGTAAGCATTTAAGTACTTTTCCCCAGACATGAGCATGGGATATGATTATTGATCTCCGAGAACCTTCCAATTACATGTTAAAACTTAGAAATACTTTAATATATCTGATTGAGCATGTGCTCATATTCAAGGCTCACATATGAGTCTATAATAATCACATATGAATCTAACATACTTTCGAAGAAAAAGACATCATTACAAATGTGGTATGCGTAAGTTATAATTCAGAATATTTTCTTGTTCCAGGGACCTGATCTGGTTATTCATCAATCTAAAGAGTGTTTAGATAGAATGGGGGAATGGTGTCAAAATCATCATGCAGCTAGTGGTATGTGTTTCAAGATCAATTGTGTTATGATATTTAACTTTTAATTATTTAGCTTTGTCTTTCTGCATTATGCAATAATAGATTGAGAACCGTTACTAATAACCTTCCATTATTTTAGGATTGACAAAGAAAGTGCTTCAAAGTACAATTAGTGAAAGAGAAGCTGAAAAACAGGTCAGTAAGAAGATCATCAAGTGGCATGATTTTATTATGTTAGTTCAGTAAGAGCGCACTAGTTGTTACATAGGAATTCTAGTAGGATGCACCCTTTTTTTTTTTGCGTACAAAGGTTTGCAGTTATGTTCTTTGTTGGTGCAGGTCATAGAATTTGTGAAGCAAAATGTCGGTACATACAGACCTCATTTAGCAGGAAATTCTGTTTATATGGATTATCTCTTTCTAAAGGTAATTAGGCAATTCATAATTTCATATCACTTTCAACTTCTGATTCAAAGTTGAAACAAACCCTAATATTTGCTCCTTTAATGTGGCCATATGATGGCCGTGAGTTTGGGGGTGCTTAGATTTATTGGGCCATTACATGATAATGTTCAAAATAGCAAAAAGGTCTGATTTTATAAATCTTTTTTCTGCTCCAGCTTTACTTAGAATGGCTAAGTTGTCTTTGGTTTTCATAAACTTCCCCTTATTCTTGCTTTAATAATTTTCTGGTGGATTCTAAAATGAGCAATTGCATGCATGCTGTAGAAGATGAAGGTGGAGTTTATTTTCTTTTGTGAGAGTTGCTTACTTATCAAGTTCTATTTTTTATATTCTTCTGATATGTTGATTCTTTTTCTTGAAGTTGGTGTCATAAATTATGAAATGTGCTTGACAGACCAAGAAATCTTGGTTCGTTAGCCTTTATTTTGTTTCTATTCTTGGTTTCTTGATAACTTTTGCCCTTGCTTATTATTGGCACAATTTGAGGTGTTAACTATTTTTTATTTTGCAGAAATATATGCCAGATTTGGCTAGTCTCTTCTCTCATGTAGTTGTTGATGTGAGCAGTGTAAGGGCTCTTTGCATTCGCTGGTATCCAAGAGGTAAATCACGCTCTTTGCTGTAAAATTTGCATCATTTTTGTTGTTGCAAAACTATAGTAATCTTATCATATATGGCAGATCAAAAGAAAGCCCCTGCCAAAGAAAAGAAACACAGAGCCATGGATGATATCAGAGAGAGCATATTAGAACTCAAATACTTCAAGGAGACCATTTTTAAAGGAAAGTCTAATAAGTGAATGTCAATTGCTTTTGGAGACAATTTGATACAATAGCTTTGCTACTCTTTGTTGACAACACATTAGGTGATTCAAGTTTTAATATAATAACTGTGATATGTAAAATTATATTTGGTAATCGACCTTAACATATGATAATCAATTGTAGTACATGTTGATTATATAGTTGGTTACGTGTTCATCATTTATTGTCTCTTAACTTTGTTTTACAGATTAAGATATATAATATAGTATTTATCATAAAGCAGACCTATAAAAAAAATATTATTGAGTGATTTATAGAATCCTAAATACTCTGCACCTGAAACCTGTGATATCCAATCCAAGGAGGGCAATATCAACGATTGAATGAGCACGTGCTGCTTCCATTGTAGCATTGCCATTGTCTACCTACCAACAGAAATAAGCGTTAGGATATTTGGAAAAATGGTGAAAGAGTTTTACACCCTTTTAACTTTTCCCAAATTTTATACGCCACATCATATAAAAGTAACAAGAGGTAACGTTAGGGATTTTATCAAAAACGAACTAAAAATTTGGTGACTGGATTGTAAGTTTTATAAATTAGGTGATCAAATTGTAAGATCCCTAAAAGTTTGATGACCATATATGTAGTTTACCCTTTTAATTTTGTAAATAACGTATTATTCCGCGTGGTAGATTCTGTTCTGAAACTAATGCTGTTAGTCCACATACTAGGATTTTCCATTTTCTTCTTCCACTTTTTCACTGTGTCGTTGTTTGACGCTAAATTCACTGAAAACTTAAAAAAAAAAAAAAAAAAGGGCGGGGGACACGATGATTCATCTTCAAATGTTAAGAAAATTTTCGCATACTCGATCGAGAAAGCAATTGTCGCAGCTTTTCTCAACAATCTCTCAAATATCTTCGCAACAATCCAAGCCGTGCGTTCCTATCCTTATTTTTCTTAATTTTGATTACTGTTTCTTTTTCTATTCATTTGCTTTCCTTTTTTCCCCAATGAAATTCCATCTTTTGGCATTGCTTTCGATTTAGAAGGTGTCGTTCTGCGTGGACCGCTCTTATTGGTGGCGCTCCGCGAGCACTTAGGAGATTATACGACGGTTTCGGTATGTACACATACTCGTATATACATATTCGCACATTTAATTTTTTGAAATGTAAACTTTATTTGTTAAGGTTGTGTTCAGTATCTGACTGCTTCCTGTTTCTGTTCTATTTTAGTTTTCCCTTTTATCCTTTTTTTTTTTTTGCTCTAATTTTTTTTTTACTTTTTCTTTCTTAAATTAATGAAAAGCGGATATCTAAAAGGGATTACAAATTGCTAATTTTTACTATTTATCAATTTAAAAATTAGTAATTTTCTTAAACTATAATCTTCTTTTGTTTTGCAAATGCACAAGTAGTTAAAGTACAATCAAAGAAAACTTTGTTTAGAATTAATTATCTGTATTTGGTTTTTAATTCATGTTTGTGGAAGAACATTAGATTGAACTTTGATTAGTTCATTGTGTTGGACAGGTGCTCTGAAGGTTCCTTTTGTGTTTTTGACGAATGGTGAGTTATTTCTGTGCGTTAGTTTCCATGTCCTTTAAGCTTATTTATCGATCATAGTTTCTTCTTTGTTCCTTCTTGTTTCTTGTATCTTAACTTAGATATGCTACTTACTCATCAAGAACTTAAGTGAAAAATCCTTTCCATGTATCATGTTGGCTGTTAAATGGCTGGGTCAATTCCTTATATATATCCAATATATATATACAAACAAGATATAAAAATTCTAATCGATCAGATAAAATCTCAAAGAAAAGAATCCCAAGATTTAATCTATTATTCATTAACTACCTGTATATCTTAAGAATAAAATATATTTTTAGTCATTGTTTTTTGCGAGGAGCTGGATGAGAAGAAACTCTCATGTCCAGTTCTGTAGTAGAGATGGAATTCATAAACAACCATCAACTATATTTCATTACTTTTTAGTCAATTACTTCCGTTGTACATTCAATCATCATTTGCAAGTATGAGTTTTGTAATCAATAAGTTTTGCATGCAATTGGTGGTGAATATTGTATTAATAAGTAATGGATTGGATCCTAAATAGCTAGCCTTTATGGAAAATCATGTTATCCAGATAGTTCATTTTCTCTAAACTGTTGTGTCTGGCACATATTTGGAGGATATGATCCTCCAAATGTATAAAAAACTTACAAATATGCACACTCTCAAATTAGAGTATCATAGGGGTTTAAAATCACTTTAGGCTTAGGCAGCAAAAAACAAAATCATCATAGGTTTTAATTATGATTTCAAGTTTTCAAAGTCATGAATAAGGCAGCATATTCAATTGAATATTGTTGTTTCCAACAATTTTTACAGGGGGCGGTGTTCGTGAATCAAAAAGAGCTGCGGAGTTGTCAGAACTCCTGGGTGTAAAGATTTCTCCATTACAGGTTATATCCTTTGAAGTTGTTCATTTTCCTCCATTCCTTTTATTCAGAAAGCTTTGTGGATGGCAGGAGTGATGGCTGACAAAAAATACTGCTAATTCATTCCAGGTCTTGCAGGGTCATTCACCTTTTAAACAGCTGGTGAACAGGTATGATTTATAGTTTACTAGGGGTCTTAGTTTCCTCCAAAATGTTATAGCAAATATGACGCTGCATGTATTTGTTGGAAAAATTCGAGGATAACTGTGTACTTTTTCTTGGTGATAATTGTTAACTTGGAGGGAACTCATTAAAGGAAAGGAAAGGTCCAAGTTAGAGTCAAGCATCTTGTTTTTAAGTTATGGAGCCTGATTGTCTCACTAATCACTATTTCTCATTGGCATTGCCATTGTCATTTAGGTTTGAGAATGAACTAGTAGTTGCTGTTGGGAAAGGTGAACCTGCTGCTGTGATGACTGAATATGGATTTAAGTTTTTTACTGTGCCTTTTGATTTGTTACTTGTTAGAGGAGATGTTGATTGCATTGCTCAAAAATGCTGATAAGTTTTGGATAGAAATTCTGAATGACTTGTGTCCATTGATTTTACATACAGAAATGTAATTTCAATAGATGAGTATGCACTGTGCTTTGACAACATTGACCCACTGGCACCGCACAAGAAATGGGGCACCATGGAAATTGCTGTCAATAGAACTAGAAAATGCAGCATTAGTTCTGAGTTCGGGCAGCATTTGTCGTCAGTGATTCTGTTGATTGGAGCAGGGACATTCAGGTCACCTTAAACAATTTAACCTTATAAATACACATTCTGTGAGAGTACTTTTTGATTGATGTTTAATCTGGATTGACTAATTGTAGCATTAAATCTTTTTAATATTAGGTTCCTTGTGATATTTTAAGAACTGGAGGTCTTCCTGCAAGTGATGAAGGCCCTCAACCGCCACTGAATTTTGCTCATGATGACCTTAAATACCAGGTCAGTTATGATTTATGCTCTAGAAATCAGTTGCTTTTTACTCATTATAGAACCTTCCTTTCAAGTATTAATACACTGATAAGATTCCTGATAAAGGCAGGGTGCTTTTCCTTCTGAACGTTTTGGCATGGGAGCATTCAGAATTGCACTGGAATCCCTCTTCAATAGGTAAGGGTTGAGTGTATATAAACAGACGATTATACTCAAAGTTCACTGTTAGATATTACTATGCTTTCGTTTTGAATGCTTGGGAAATGATTCTTTCACGGGGCCTATCTTTTAGGGGCCCATGGAATGCCTATTAGTTTGAGTATCACCATGGAATTCTCAAGAGGCAGATTTCGTTAATTCCACTAAATTAAACATGCAGCATTCATACTGAAGCTTTGAAGTATACATACTTTGGAAAGCCGAATCCAGTTGCATTTAAGAATGCTGAAGTTGTGCTAACGCAACTAGCCTCGTTCCTGTATTGTGAGAACCATGGGAATTCTGGAAGTCATGACTTCCAAACTCTATATATGATAGGAGATAATCCTGAAGTCGACATCAAAGGTGCACGGAAGGTTTGTCTGTCTTGGGCGGCTTATCAGTTTCCTGTTTCTATGTGTACGATGTAAAGTTATTAAGACCGAGAGATAACAACTGTGTTTCACATTCCAGGCCGGAAATCCTTGGTTTCCCATTTTGACAAGAACTGGTGTTTTCAAGGGAGATCATGATTCTAATCATCCTGAGTTCCCAGCCAATCTGGTGGGCATCCAATTTTATTTTCCTTTCTTACCAAACAACTCGATAAGAAGCTTAATCTTTGGTTTCAACTGAGAATTTAGGCAACATATCCAGAACATTAGTGCCAGCCTAACACACTTGGTTGTTACTGTTGCAGGTTGTTGACACTGTGGATTTTATCATGAGAAATAGGCATCAAATCATAGATTAGCAGTTGAATCAAACGGTATTCATCTACTCAACTTCAATTCCATCCATTTCATATTCGATTTCTTATGTTGACTCAAGTTAAAGAAAGCCCGGGTTACATTTTTTTCCTCTACATTTCACAGTGATCCACCTGAAACTCAAACCATGTCCATCATTTTGCATTGCGATCGTTTCTATTGTTGCTTCCCTTTTCTTAATCGGTTGATAATTTTTTTCTGTCAATATATTTGTTTGCATCACTCTTGTAATACATTATCACATATGATGACTTGAAACAATCTTCTCGATACATTCATCATCACCTTTAGGCTTTAATCATAAATAATCTCAGTTCTCTTTGGTCGGCCAAGTGTAATATTAAAGTTTCTTGTGTTATCTATCTTTAGTCAGCTCCTGCGTTCATCTCTTATTACTTTGACAATTCAGCAATGTTTTGAAATGGTTGTAACTTTCTAAATATCAATCATAGAGTTATTATTAAAACTACTTTTTTGTTGCACCCTCAAGCATTGTTCTTATTTGCTTGGATTTTTTTATCACGTATAATTTGTGTAGGGTTGAGCAAAATTGGTTTAAACTAGTTTAATTACTAGTTTTCAGTCCTATTAATTCAGTTAAGTCGATTATGATGATTAATTCTATTTTATAAACAGTTGAAATAGTTACAGTTAGACAATTATCGATTGTGAGTTTTTTTTAATCAATTTAATTAACTTCTAATATATATAAAATTTTAAAATTCTAAATTCAAACTCGTATATCTCTAAATTATAAGATAATACATATTTAAGTGTATTTATTCATGTTTTTCTGAGTGTTGTACTAATAACAGTATCAAGTGAACTAATTTAGTGTATAAATATATAATATACAAAATTTTAACTAATGCTATTAGTCTATTAGACTTCTATTCTCTTATTCGGAAGAAACGTTTTGTATATATATAAATTTGGGATAAATATAAGCGCTCGTATCCTTGGTATTTGCGGTGCTCAAATATAAGACCTCAAGAGATAACAAGTTTCTTAACAAATGAGATCGCTTCTTTTGTGCAAAAACCTTTTTTTAACCAATGGATGTTGTATTTCGTATATTTTATAACAGAACCGGCTGTACATATTGATTAGTTTATTTTTTAAATAATTTGGGGCGTGATTATAAGATAATAATTGTTTACTATATCTTTTAGTCATTGATAACATATATCTTACAAAGATAATTGTTTGAACTTGACACCTTTAAATTAATATTCTTTTTAACCATTGATATTATTTTTAATTAAAACCGACGTGATGAAATAAAAATGATCAAATTTTAGTTTCACGATTTATTTTCCTACATTTGTATTTTTTAATCTTTTTAAATAACGTGAAGGTGGAGCATCGCATAAATATTAAAATGATGACATCCTTGTTTTCCGATCTAAAAAGGACAAAGATCATTTGCGACGACCAGCTTCCTGCTAAATCAACTGAATACTGCCACGTAAGCGTATAGATGTGTTTGTAGTGCAGGAATCAATGAACTTCATTTTTGAAGTTGATTAGGTGTAATGACAGCTTGATGTCAATCCGATTCACAAGATTTGAGTTTTGACCAAGAAGAAACATTTTAAATTGGCGTGTTGTTGGGCTTCAACGAGTTTCTCTAAATCAGTTTTTGCCTGAAACTTACAAAAATAGAAACAAGAATAAAAGCCTGAAAATCTTTTTATTTCTGCTTGGACGGTAATTGTTGTTGGGGCCGGGTGGAAATTTTCGCTGTCCCGTCGAGAGGAAAGATAAAGTATCTAACAAATTTTTAAAAAAATATATGTACAAGTTATTTAAGTCGAAATTTAAACAAATTTTATTCACTTGATAATCTCAGTTAAACAATTTTAATATGTTTTGAATGATTTGATTTGAATTTAAATATATATATTTAACATATTTTGGTCTAGCCTAATTTAATTTAACATGTTTTTTTAATTTTTATATTTTTAAAAATAAAAAAAAGTATCTAATGAAATATTGACTCATTCAATTTAATAACATGAATTTAATAATTTTATATTACTACTTTATATAATGATAATATATGAATTCATTTTTTATGAAAATAAAATCATTAATTTTAGGCTTAATATACTTTTTAGTGTCTAAATTATACCTCAAAATACAATTTGGTGTTTAATGAAATTTTTGCTAAACATAGGTGACTACCATTAAACTAGTCCTTCTTCAACGACTATAAAAACGGTTAATATTCTTTAATTATGAAGTTGCGGCAAAAGATACAACGAAATATTCTTTTGCTTGGAAGCTGAAAGAAGAAGAAGTGGTTAATCGCAGATTTTGGCTAAAGTTAACGTTTGTATTGCCGTTAAAACAAAAGGGTTAAAAGAAGGCACGTCTCAAAAAATAATAGGTCAGGGACATGATAAAAGGGCAGAAGATTTATGTGTGTTCGTCCTGAAAAATATTCTCGATCCATCGCTGGGAACAAATCTGATTAATATTTATGCTTCTTTAAGATTTTCATTGTCTCATAGGCTTCCGCATATACTCTTTTAAAGACAGTCCAGTAAACTAAAACTCAAATTAGTTGTGTTTCAATAAGCGAACACAAAAGGGAAAACACAATCTTTTTATCTCAAGCTAGTTAGTGGGCATCTCAAACCGACAAATAGGGCAATAATGGCTTTGCTTTAGCCATTGTTCAATGCAAAACACCATGAAAAATATGAGAACATGGCATCTGAGAAGCTTCAAATCCAAACATATCATGCAGTCTTGTTCAACTCCAGCCTTTACACCGACTCTCTTCAGCATCTTCTCCATTGATGATTCATTGGCGGCAACCATGCCATAGTTATTGCTCTCAAACCCTGACGCCGATTCTTCCAAAGCTCTTGTCATCTGTCTGATCACCGTTTCCACGAATACCTTACAATGTAGCTTCAATACTTTACAACAAAATCCGCTGTTGATGTTCTACTTGCAGTTCCAAGTACACATTCCATAATTTCTTGAATCATGATGTTGTAAGAAGCAGATACTATGTTGATTCCAAGTCTCATAAATACTGGATCAAGAACTTGGTGAACCTGGCCGCAATTTTGTAAAACGTTGAGATCAAAACCAAGAGTTCCTTGTGAGAAAGGATTGTTGAAATAGCCCCTTATAGGATCATGATCGAGGAGATCAATGTCCATCGTTAACTTGATTAAATCGGAAGGTACATAAGGAGTTTCTGATATGATCCCGAGCAGGTGACGACAATGGAAAACAACATTAGAGTTGCAAGAATTTGGAGACAACGCCATTGAACTATGTTGAGGAGAAATACAGCTCTAACTTAACAATAACAATGATTTAGGGTTTTGCGGTGATATTCTTATATCATGAATGGCGGTGTAGAAAATCCTACATTGACGAGGACAACAAATCCTACTTGTAGGTCTTGTAGGAGGAGATTTCAACCAGTTTTCCATTTATCCCATATATATATATATGCTCAAACTCATCACGAGATATATACCCAAAGATAATACTTTTCACTGGAAGGCATCCGGCTGATATATCATTTCAATAGAAATTTTTGTTAATCCCGTTATTTCATTTTATTATGAAAGAAATCGCTAATTTTATTGAAAAATAGAAAATATCTCGTATTATAATAAAGATTTACAATTATAATTTTAAATTAAGCATATAATTAAGAAAAATTCCTATAACCATTGAAATCAAAACTAGTAACTAAGATCACATAAGGACCATACAAGAAAAGATTAAAAACCTAACCAAGAAACTCGAACATAGATACATAAAAACATATCTGATCGCATCAGCAAACGAACCATAAAAGAGAATCAAACTATTAAAAGACCAGCTACAAACCGCAAATCAGACTCGAACGCTAGTGAAAAGCTATCCACAAACGCGAATCGAGTATCCAAATTCAATCTTAGGGTCCAAAGCAAGGAAGATCAACAAGATAACAGATAATCATCATCTTGATCATTCTTTATGATGTCAAATCAACCCTTAGAAAAAGATAAACGAAAAAAGACAAACAACCGAAAAATGTGTCATAAAGGTATATGAAAAAGTGTCATATAGGTAAACTTATTGAAAATTAAAAAATAAAAGAAAACAAAGATGCAATATAAAAAAAGAAAAGAAAATAAAAATATCGACGGTCGATTACCAACATTAAATTGATACCGTCGTCGATCAACAAAGACAAAAAAAAAAAGATGAACGATATACCAATGACAGAAAACTGGTCTTAGCTTGATTTTGAGTTATAACCATATATATATATATATTGGTACTTTCGTTATTTTAGACTTGGATAATTTGTCTGGATGAAATATCAATATCTTTATTCTTAACAGAAAAATATTCATGTATTCAATGATTTCAAATTTCTTTTAATATATAATTAATAGGCCCAAAACGTCTCCAAAATTTAAAAAACGTTTGAGAACAAAACATCAAATATGTAACATATCCTTTGGTATTAATACTTGTTTACCTCCACGGAACAATCAAATGATTTGGTCTATCCCAAAATTATAACTTGTTTCTTCATGCATACACTTACTGAATGATAACAAATCATTAGGCTTTTTTTCACATAAAAACACAGGGTTTTCCATCTCTCTTTTTATCTTTCATTTGGAGCATTGAAATCATCTTTCAAAAGCAGCCCATATTCATCAGTTGAAATCTGAAACCAGACTCCCTAAACCAAATGGCTTCGACATGTATCTCAAACTGCATCAGTGACACTAGGGTCCCGGTCAGGCCAACATACGTCAATCTCTACAAATGGCCGGAATCGGATGCCGAGTTTGTCAGGTCACTGAGCTCTCACGGGTGCAAAAGTGCACGTTCCGCGGTTGTCGATAGCATTTCGTGCAGGCAAATGTACCTGAGGAGCTATACGTTTCATAGGAATGAGCATGAGAAAACGAAATGCTTTGGCAGAGTTGATGACAAGGAAAGAAACCAAAACAAGCCCAAGAAGAAGCGCACGCCGCTGAGAAAGGCCAAAGAGGTGTCTTGTGCCGCCCTGTTGGCCGTGTTTCGCAGGCTGTTGTCTTGCACCACCAAGGTTGATGTGGCTGATCATGGAGATTGAAACCATTTTCACACATCAAAACTTCCTCTTCCTCTTTCTTTGTTTCTAAATGAAATTCTAATAGCTAGCATTAAGTTTTTATTTATTTGATCCATTTTTCCCTTCCCTCTTTGTTATTTTTCTTTATTAATGGAAATGGAGTGATGATACCATATATATACATATAATATATATAGTCACCATGTGTTACTGGTAAACAATTTTGATATATTTGGTTGGAAAGTAACCATCTTATGTAAATTTGTCCATTTTTTCACCTTATACAACTCTTAGCTATTTAAAGTTCCTAATCACATTCACCGAGCTGGTTTAATTTCTTGTGTGTCTCGCCACTTTTATGCAACTTAAGATTCTGGGCTCAAGTCCTTGTCATTCACCTATCAAAAAACAGAGGGATAAAAACAACTTTTAGTCCCCATATTTGTTGACTTTTCTTAAGTTGGTCCTTAAAATCATTTTTTGTTCACATTAATCCTGATATTTGACAGATTTTCTCATTTCTAGTTATTCCGGTAATGCCGAGTGGCATTATGAGTGTGACATTTGACACAATCTTATAGTGTTAGTCATTAAATTGATTGAAAAATTAAATTTAGGAACTAATATAGAACAAAACAAATTAAGAAAAAAAATTCAAGTGGAGGGATTAGTTGCTTTGTCCCAAAAACAAAACAACATGCTTTGTTGTGCATGAATAAATCTATATAAGCATCCCAACTCAAGCAAGGAGACCCTCCCAACTCAGTTTGCTCCATTCACAAACGTCAGGGTTTGAACCTTTGACTTTGCTTAAGAAATCTAGTATCTCTTCCCACCAGGCCAACTGATTGTTAGTTGTTTTTCATTCTCTTTGGATATTTAAGTTGCTGCATACGAGGATATTCAATAGATATCGGTATCCAAGAAACGTATGTGCCCAAGTAATATAAGCATGAAGTTTGATGTGAAATTAAAACCCAAAAAGTATAGAAAGTAATGGAAAATCTAGATTCTTAAGAGGAGCAATTTTGTGAAATTAAAGATGGAGATGATGGTGACATTATGGCGGTGGAGGTGGGTGATTTTAGAGGAATTCACATGACTTGAGCTTTTACATTCCCAACTTTCTTTGTTCCATTCGTTTCCTGAAAGGGACAGCGCCAGTTTCGGGTCATCATGACATTGAAGAAGTAATCCATAAGAAAAGAGGTTTTAGGCTCAATCATACTATAGAACAATAATGGGACTTTTAATGTTATTATTGTAAAAGGTATATAAACTTACAAAGCAAGTTTTTCTTGGGTTAATCGACTGCAATTTTAATATGTGTTTACTACTTAAATGGAAGATGATTCCGGGAATTAGTGTCGATTTATTTATTCGGGTTGAAGTAACGTAAATAAGGAGTGTATAGGGGAATGAATTATTCTAAAGAGATGATTTACGGTGAATGTGCAAAGTGTGCGATTTACTGGACAGCAGGCCCCATTTTCCTTTTCATTCTGTTCTAATAATGTCTTTGGCGATAATATATTTTTCTATGAATATGAGAAATCCCATCTCATTTTCACGAGTTGCTTTCTTCGAGCACAAGCATGATATTTTATCAGCAAATCAATGAGTATATTTATTTGCCAACTCAATTATTGTTGTATGCTCTGTCCCACTTAGAAGCTCAATAATTATAATCCGACTTAATTCATGCAGTTTACCATTAAAAAGGATATCAACAAGTTAGGTTCAAATTCTAATCTACAAGTGGCCTCCTCTGTAGATATGTTGCAGGTGGTTGTGCTTCAACCACTGAATTTTATCGTTAACAACCGTGTTGGGTAGAATGTTAACATCAGACAACCGCCAATGTTGTACGAATGACAAGCAGTAGGGTATTCAAAAGCAGACTCGTAAGGAACGGGATTATTCAAGTTAATGGAAAGAGTATGAGCATGTTTATATATTGTTCATGCAAGGGTCCTATTTCCCATACCATGTCGAATGTGGATGCAGCAAGATAAAGTAAAGAATTAGACAATCTGAAAATAATGGCACAACCATCACTCGCATAAGTCGAAATGTACCCTATAGCAAATTAAAGTCATGAGCATGGCAAATAGAAACAAAAGGTACATGAAGAACCTTGAACTGCAACATCTCAGTCATTTCCTAAAGCTTACTCCTGCTGTACATGAAAGATCTCATTATTCATTATGCAGTTCCATTTTAGAACACAAATAACTTTGAACACTAGTGTCTCAAGTCTACAGTATAGTCTAGGATGCTAACCGACAAACTAACAATGAAAAAACAAAAGGAACTCGGACCATTACGTGTTATTAAGGAAACTAGCTTAGCTACTCGGATAGGGCAAGCTCTCGTGGATCAGAGAAAACCATATAAGCATTGTCAAAGAGAAGCTAAAAGCTTAATAGGATTTTCCATCTCATACAAGTCACCTGCCTTCAGACTTCACCAGCTGTGAGCACACTTTACTCATTGAAACACCTGAGAGGTCATTCACACTTGATGCCTCGAACTGTGTGGAAGAAACAGTGTGATCAAGCGGGCCGACATTGTTGATTTGTGGAGAAAGATCACCAATCATATTTGTACTGTTTTCTTCGGGATCGCCTTGAACAACTGCCTCCTGAAGTTGAAGAGCATACTCCAGATTCCATAAGACGTCACCCATGGAGGGCCTGTCGACACCGAAATCAGCTAAGCACTTCTCGGCAGTTTCTCCAAACTTCCTAAGAGAATCAGGCTTGATGGTTCCTTTGAGATTAGGATCAATTATTTGCTCCAACTGTCCTCTCTTCTGCCACTTCATTGCCCACTCAGCTAGATTTACCATCTCCCTAGGAAGAGTTGGATCTATTACTGGTCTTGCACAAAGAACTTCAAACAAAACCACTCCAAATGAATATACATCCGATTTCTCTGTCAGTTGTTGCCTTCTGAAATATTCAGGATCCAGGTATCCGAAACTTCCTTTCACTGCCGTACTCACATGGGTTTGATCAAGTTCAGGACCCGCCTTTGACAGTCCGAAATCAGCAACTTTGGCCATGAAATTCTCATCTAGTAAGATATTCGCAGACTTCACGTCACGATGAATAACTGCTTTTGCATAGCCTGTGTGAAGGTAATGGAGTCCTCTAGCAGCTCCGATGCATACTTCAAGCCTTTGTTTCCAACTTAAACTTGGATGACCTGAGCCGTATAGATGACTCTTGAGTGTCCCATTCTCCATATATTCATAAATCAATATCATCTCATTCTTTTCATCACAATAGCCGATCAAAGAAACCAAATGGCGGTGTCGAAACTGGGACAGCATCTCAATTTCAGTCTGGAACTCAGCAAGTCCTTGCTGGGACCGTGGATTTCCCCTTTTAACAGCAACTTTTGTACCATCATTCAGTTCTCCCTTGTACACCTTACCAAAACCTCCTATTCCAATAACCCAACCTTCATCGAAGTTGTTTGTGGATTCCTGAACAACCAGAAAAGGAATATGATAGCTAGCATTGGAATTGAGACTGGCAGTTGTTCCTTTGGAGTATTTGCTCCCCATCGTTTGAGTTCCCCCATTAATTGAAAACGGCATCCATGTCTTTGATTGCCCCTGGAGCGACTGTCGTCTTCTTTTTCTACAGACCATTACGATAACTCCGGCCAACAGCACTCCAGAAGCCACTCCAACGCTTGCGCCCACTATAGCCCCTACGTTATTCTTTGAACTTGAGCCAGAAGTATTGACAGTTTCTGAGCCGGTAAGGCTGCCATCAGAGTTGTTCATTTTCATGATTTCCAGCCCATTTAATATGGCATTCGGTTCAGTGCCATGTAAATTAGAAGGGCCGATGCTTACTCGAAGCTTATTACTCGTAGCCGACTCTGTAACATAGTCCATAATATGCAGCAGCTAAAACATTAACCAAATAAGTACTCAGATCAAGGTTCCGAACAACCATCAAGGAATCGATAAAAACATTGAAGTACAGCTCGTTAAGAGCATTGCTGACAATATCACAAAAGTGAAACCTAATAAGGTACTGAAATCCTGGATCCACATCAAACTCCCACGTCACATTGAAATTGCTATTGGGGTCATTTGCGGAGTTCATCCTCGTGCAGGTACCATAGACAGTATTCGGGGCGATATCTGGTGTTGCCCCACCCTCCACAAACTTGACAGCTCTAATATTCGATACACTTACAGCAAGATTTTTTTCTGCGAGAAAACGTTGATCAGGCACCCATGTTCGCCAAAGGGTATCGTTCTCGAAGGAGACTGTAGGTCCCCCCATATTCACCCTAAACACAGTCTCTAATGCCTGCAAAGTTAGGCCTTGGAATCCCACTGATGGTTTAACAGAACGGGCACCGTCAGGAATTAGCTCATCCGGGACCGAAACAACTTCTAGAGCACTTATAAAAGCGAATGAATCCTCTGAAGGACTGAACGTGATGGCAAGGCTATTGGTGGTTACATTAACAGAGAATTCCTTCATAACTGGAGCTAGCACACTGAAACTGCTGAGAAGAACATGGTTTTCTGTGGAAACATCAAACTTGGCCAAACTCATATTATAACTACCAAAAGCAAACGGATAGAAATAGAGGCGAATCCAGTGCCTTCCTCGTCGGCTGATCGAAAATGTGTACTTAGAGACAACTGTAAAGATTCTTGCAGTTTGATAGAGTGGGGAATCATCAGAGGAAGTAATTGCAGCTCTTGATGTGCTCCCAATAACACTTTGTGGTGAAGAAAGGAACTTTGAGGCTAAGTTATCAGCCATGAAAACTCGATCACCCACAGTTGTATTAGTAGGCGACCCACAATCAATAAGGTAATTGTCTGCAGGTGTAAATCCTCTAACAAAGCATGCCAAACACAACAAAACCCAGAAAAGCAATTCAAACACTTTACAGCCCATTTTTTTCCTTCAAAATCCTAGAAAATTCACAACACAACGATCTGAAATCCAGGGTTCTTACAGAAACAGCTAGTGATTACTAGCAAAAGCTGGCACCAAGACAAACCCTTGATCTTCAATATATGTTCTTACACAGTATAGAAAGCAAAGCAGCTGAAACGAAAAGGAAAAAAGAAAATACCAAGAGAACTGGGGGGAAAATGAAACCTTTGTGGAGAAAGCTGGATGAGAAGATCCCCTTTGAGTGAAAATGAAATCATTTGTTCACCTCTAAGGGAATTTTGTCAGAATTCCAGATGAATTTTGAATACAGATATGCCCCAAATCTTACAAGGCATAGCTGGTCTGAATTTGGTGACAACCTCATTTATTGACATATTCCTATATATTTTATCATTTTCCATGTTCTTAGTTTAATGAGAAAATAAAAAATGAATAAATAAAACAGGCAACAAAGAGTCAAAAAGTCGTGTTTCACGTATATGGAGTATTATTTTCTTGGATAAATTATACCCAAGGTAACTTAATTATTAATTTATTGACAAAGAAGTCACTTTTTTCTAAAAATTACAAGCAGGTCATTCAATTAAAATATTATTACAAATCTATCTTTTCGTCGTTAAAATTAAACTAAACAATAATATAATCTAATATAATAATATTTTTAATTATTAAAACTTATATAGTTCATTAATTTAATTCTTATTTAAAATGATTCAATAAATTTAATACTTAATATTAGTTTGAGGTGACTATAATATTAATTTAATCCTAAATTACATATTTTTCTCTCATAAATGTAATATTATTTTTTTATTAGTTTGAGGTGACTATAATATAGTATCTTTTTATAATTTTCTTAACCTATTATCAACGACACTCATCCCGTTAGAATATTATTTTTGGTTACTTTTTTGTTATAATAAAGTTTAATAGTAACTTATTCTTCCCTTATGACAGAACTCAATTATCCAACTATTATTTTAGTTCAATAGGCTTGTTTGGTTCGATAGTATCATAAGAAATTAAATTGATTGATTTTTTAACGTGAAATGTTAAATTTATTGAATTATTTTAAATTAAAATAAAATTAATAAAATATATAAATTTTAAAAACTAAAAATATTGAAACGTTAGATATAAATTTTAATTTTAATGATAGCGCCATATATTTGTAATAATATTTTAATTTAGCGATTTGATTGTAACTTGTAAAGAAAAGTGTTATGTTTGATACTAAACTTATAATTTAAGTGATCTTAGGTGTAATTTATCATATTTTCTTTTCGTTTAATAAATATTATAAGAACATGAAAATAATATAATAAATATTGAAAGGAAAATGTAACATATGCAGGTAAGGGCGAATTAAAAGTTCTGAAATTGATTGAGATAAGGGTTTTTTTTTTGGTTATATACTTTAAACTGTGGTAGGTACGTAACAGTACGTACCATATTTACTCTCTTTACACTGCCTCCTGGTACTATTTTTCCTATATTTAAGATTTTTTTTTATAAAAATTCCTAATCTTTATCAAGGTTAACGGTAAAAAATATATATATTTATGTTGAAATTTTTTCTCAATTATATTGTGTTAATTTAAGGTCTCGGTCAAATTATCTAAAAAATATGTATGAACCAAAAGACCTCAGTAGTTAAATGAATAATTATTATCGTAGAAGTTTCGAGTTCGAGTATATTATCTACATGAATGTTTAAGCGTTTATTATCAAATAATTAAAATTTTTTCGAATAAATATTATATTGTAATCATTTTAGATTAATAAAAAAATATTTTCAATAAAAATATAAAACCCAACTTACCCTATCCATGAATTTTTTGTGGTTAAATGTCAAATTTACTGAAATAAAAAATATAATATAAAACAGAGAATAAAAAGGATAATTGAAGTGTGGAAAAGAGAATTTAGATGTAGTTGACATTTTGAATAAGTGGGGAACAGGGGGCTACAGCTGTAACAATTAGTTGTGGCAAACAACGAAATCTTACAATTATTTTATAAAATAAAAAAAAGTGACAACTACTCCCAACTTATTCTTATTATTTTACTTTCTTTATTTTTATAATTATAAAGTAAATCAGATTTATTTATTATATTTCTATTTATTTAACAATTATATTTTCTTTACATTTCGATTATTTTGCCGTGATTCTAGTTTGAGGGATAGCGCGTCAAGGCAAGCTTCGCTTTCAATATAACGCAATACGCGGTGAGCGGAGTTGGAGAGAACATTATATGACAACCGAGTCCACATAAAGCAGAAGCTAGCCCAATTGAAAATATAAAAGTAAATTATACGAGTAAATTTTTATTTTTTTTTCTAATAAAATTTTAAAAATAACAAAATAATTATTAACATTATCAATTTGTAATAAATCAATCACTTAACATTAACGACTATTATTGAAATAACGAAATGTTGATGTGGACTTCTTCTAAGTTTATTTTGGGTTGATAACACTAAAAAACTTAAAGATTATTTAATATAAATAAATTTAATAGTTTACATAATATCATTTCCCTTAAAAAGGGTTTCATTTATATTCATGTCGTTATTTCTTCAACTCGACTTGGATGCTAGCAGGGAACTATCAGCTTTTCTTCACGGCTACCACAGGGCTCGCCCGAGTTAACCAAGGGGATTGTGAGCAAAATGACATGTTATTGGGTCGGGTCGGGTCGAGATAGTTGATGGAATGGACACTTCAAGTGAGTCTCTAGAATCTCTTGACAATGGTGGGATCGACTTTGATTTCTTGGCTAAGGTTGTTTGTTTGTCTCTTAATGGAACCATTCAACGCGTTTGTTTCGTACTTCTGAATGATTCAGAGCCATTATCAAACAGCATGTCACATTCAGAACTAATTCATACAGAGCCTCTGAATCATTCATTATTTGAATCATTTAACGCTTAATCATTCTGAAGTAAACAAATGACCCCTAAATTTTCTTTCTGTCTATATTATTTGCTAAAGTTTCAAAACCAATAGTAGTATACGTTAAAACCAATTAATAATAAATATGAAAACCAACAAGGATTTAATCATGTCAAATCATCAATAATAAAATACTATATGCGAAAGCATACCTGAATTAATTGATAGTTTGAAATCTTTGAATATTTCTTTGGTTGTGATCTTCTAAAAAGATAGAATTTTCTTAAGTATAAACTCTCTGACGATGATAAGATAAAATACGAAATATTCTATTTCTTGGAGACCATAACTCATGTATATAATTGATTAAAGAATCGGTTATTGTCTGTACTTATAATCATGTCTCTTATCAAATTATAAATACAACTTTAATAATATCTACATTTTTACTTACATGATACTTATAATTTATAATATAATTAGTCACGTAATTTATGTCATATTTGATGATAACAATATACTTTAAAAATATGTGTTCATAATTATAAATTTTAATTCAACAATCCAAGTCTAGTGATCTATGAATACAGTACAGTGCACAGAGATCAGGATGAAACTTAAAGAAGCAAAGCACATAGCTAATTCATAGCCATGCAAATATCCTGAGAAAGAATCCAGTACCTTTTGAGCACAGTAGGAAATTTTATGGCTTTCACTTATATCACATATGTCAATGTTTTATCGACATCGGTTGTGGAACATTGATGTGTAATTGTATGAACGTTTTCTATTGATATGTATTTTTGTGATTCTGTTTCCATGTGTGGTTGTCTCAGCCTTACCGTGCTGTTATGTAGGTTTCCACACGCTGCTAGTATTTCTTTTATACGATGCACGAACCTTTGAAGTTTATTATTTGGTATTCTACCTGATACCCGCCATTGTTAATTTGCTTGTGTTGAGATTCATTTTCATGAAAACCTCCATGTGAGAGAGATGATTATTTAGGAGGAAGAAGAGTAGAAGGGTGTTTTCAAAACAGGAACGGTTATTTATACGGAGAATCAGACGCGGTTTCGTCCCCTTCGTCTTGGGTTTTACCCAAAAAGCTAGAGTCGATGAAGAGAAGCGATGCAGTGATAGAGGAGAGCAGGCGAGGGAGTTTGAAGAGGGGAAAGTGAGGACGTCAACACGTTGATGATGATATGATAAAACTTTATCTCAAAATCTCAAACAACTATTATATCTCAGTCAACATATTAACGTCAAACTTAGACCGTCATCAATTTTCTAACGAAAAAGACGAGTTTGAAACATATAAATAATAAAGTAATTATTTTATAACTTTTAACAGTCAATGATTCAACAATGTAATGTCTTATAATTAGGGACCGTACTTTACCCTTAACTTTATAACTTGATAATTATAGAAAGATAAAATAATTTTTTAATCCTCTACCCTTGCAATTTTTATCATTTCAACCTGAAAAAGCTATAAAAATAAATGATTAAAAAATTTACATGGTTTAATTTGTAATATTTTATTTACTTTTAAAGACTAAAGGTCAAATAAGATTTATTAATTGGTTAAGTGATTAAAGACGTTCATGTTATTTTACTTACAAGAATTTAAATCTCGACATTTATCTTATAAATATGATGATCTCTACTTAACTAAAAAAAATTAAAGACCAAATTGACGAGAATAAAATTTTAAACATATATTATTACTATGAGTTATTTATCTTTTATAGTTATTTGATTTGTTTTACTTTTGGGTTTTGTAATGATTTTACAAAATAAATTTAATCATGTCAAATGGAATAAATTTAAATATGATATCTTATCTTTTCGAAATAAATTAGACAGTAAAGAGAAATTTAATATATCATATCGTATGATTAAATTTATTTTTTATAAGATGTCTGTTAAGAGTTGTCGACAAGTTAAAAAAATCTTTAGAAACATAAAATGAACACTATGTGTTGACCTGAAATGATTTAGTTGCAACGCAGAAAAGTGATAAAATTATTGAAGTGCTTTATTATAATATAGAAATATGAATTCATAGATATTATAATACAAAAATAATGCATATAATTTAACAAATTGGAGGGCTATTCTTGCAATTTATCCCTTCACTTTTTCCCCTGTCTGAATTCTTTTCCCCCTTTAGCTCATTAGATTTAGGGCACACCAGAAAAGCAAAAATAAACTGGAGAACTGGATCCAAACGTAAACGCAGATGCTCGTTCTTTGGATCTGTGCCTAAGAGATACCTTTAAGAAGGTCGAATAATTGAGAGAAAAACAAAAACTATTGCTCGTTGATCTATCTTCAGGTAATCTCTTCTGAATTGATCTGGATTCGTCTGAATTCGATCTCCAATCGCACTGAGTTCATCTCTTTTTATTTTATTTGAATTGTTGTTCTACATATGTTAAATATTTTGGACGTGTATTGCTAGTTTCGAATTGGTCCAGCGTCAACATTGTGTGGGCTTGTGGCTTCATTTTTGTCATTTTGGGTTAGTTTCTTACAACTATGTTCTCCTTTCAGGCTATAATCACCGTAGCAGCTTCGCAGATCAGGGTTTTGTTTACTTACACTCAGGACACTGATAGGCTGCTTCTCGAGGAATAATATTTGGCTCACCCATTAACACTTGAGCTGCAATGTCGGGATTATTTAATGTACTGTTACTTTAATTGAACAGTTTATTTGAAGTTGCAAATTTTTTAGAACATTCTTCTTGTTTTTGGACTTCTTAATTTTCATTTGTCTAAATGATGGGTGTGGCTTCTGCAGGTGAACTTAGTTTCTTCGGCAAAATATAACTAAATACCTGTTGCTTCTATATGTTTGTGTATGTGTTTGTGCTTGTGGTAACTTAGGGACTAGGGTACAAATATGTTAATTATAGATAATTGGTATTCCATAAATTGGTTTGAAATTTTAGTTCGTGCTTTTGTGTTCTTTTCCTGGTTGTTGTTTGTATTTTGTGTTACATGTCTGTCTTCTTACTAGAAACTATAATGTGCATCTTGTTGCAGTCATCTATCGACGGGTCAGCATCTAATCTTCCGGACAGTAGCGGACGCTCTTTTGCAACATCTTTCTCTGGCCAGTCTGGTGCTGCCTCCCCTGTTTTCCATCACAGTGGTGGGTAAATTTTACTGGATTTCTATTCACGTATGTTCTTCTGAGTTCATGCATTTCTATTGTTTGTTTTTGCAGGTTCTATTCAGGGACTACATAGTATTCATGGTAGCTTTAATGTTCCCAACCTGCCTGGTACACTCGCATCAAGAAACTCAATGTTAAGTAATGTTCCAACTGGTGGGGTTCAACAACCTACTGCGAGCCTTTCAGGCGGAAGATTCGCATCAAATAATCTCCCAACTGCACTTTCTCAGGTAGTTTTGATATTCCCACCATATTGTAGTTTGGCTTATTTTTATTGCAGCAAAAGAAATGCTACACGCTTTCTCTCCCCTTGAATTTCATTAGGACAAACACCATAAAACTGAAAGATTATAGGAAGGAAATAAACTCTTACATTCTTGTAATATGTACTTTGTTTTCTTATGAATACCATTTTGCAGTTATCTCATGGCAACTCCCATGGTCATTCAGGAGTAACCAATAGAGGAGGTATTAGTGTTGTCGGAAACCCTGGATTCAGTAGTAACACAAATGGAGTTGGTGGTTCAATTCCTGGCATTCACCCCACCTCTGCATCAATTGGTAACCGCAATTCTGTTCCGGGATTGGGAGTATCCCAAATTTTGGGAAATGCAGGTCCTAGGATAACGAGTACTATGGGAAACATGGTTGGTGGGGGAAACATTGGGAGGAACATTAGTTCTGGGGGAGGATTATCTGTACCTGGTCTTGCATCTCGTCTGAATTTAAGTACCAATAGCGGATCTGGAAGTTTAACAATGCAGGGACAGAATCGGTTGATGAGTGGTGTGCTTCCTCAGGGTATGTTACCATGAACAATTACCCCTGTTTTGCTATTGGCTTAATGCTGTTTACTTGTGTTGCTGGCTATATTTTCCACTGCACACAAATCATTACAATGGTCCAAAATTCTGGTTAATTTACCATCCCTTATTCATTTTCTTTCTATGAATGCCTGACTTGGCTTGTTGTCTTGCATTGCTCTTCATAACTGCACAATGCTCACTAGTAATCTGATTCTTATTCTTAATGAATGCTCTGAATATATGTCTCAGTTTTATATAACTTGGTCATTAACTTTCATTTAATGGAATTTGTGCCTTGTGGATTTACTAGTTTACCAGTAGATCTTCATTTGAATGATACTTTTTGCATTCAGGATCTCCTCAGGTAATTTCAATGTTAGGTAATTCTTATCCGACTGTTGGGGGTCCACTTTCCCAGAGCCATGTTCAAGCTGTGAACAATCTTAGCTCTATGGGAATGTTGAATGATGTGAACTCAAATGACAATTCCCCTTTTGACATAAATAATGATTTCCCTCAGTTGACAAGTCGTCCTAATTCTGCTGGAGGGCCTCAAGGACAATTGGGTAATTAAAGAAGAAGCTTTCTGATACTTTTATTTGTCCTCCCCCCACTTTTTTTCCTGGAGTCCTAACATTTTAAATTAAATTATTTCAGGTTCATTACGGAAACAAGGTCTTAGTCCCATTGTTCAACAAAACCAAGAGTTCAGCATTCAAAATGAAGATTTCCCTGCTTTACCAGGATTTAAAGGTGCACAGATATTCTTTCACCTTGTTTTTTTATTTTCTGGTGGACAGAAATCTGTCTTGCTTTTTGCGTGCGCTGGAATCCAGTTTGGAGTTATATCTTAATTTTGTGGTCATTCTAGTTCATTAGCTGTTTACCGAAACTTTATGGCAGTCTTATTATTGGATTTAATAACTTGTTTTCCATTTATATGATTCTATTATGTTTTTTCTTAAATCATTATATTCTTGATCATTATTATATAATATGTATATTTTTACAGGTGGTAATGCTGATTATGCAATAGATTTGCACCAGAAAGAACAACTTCATGACAATACCATGTCTATGATGCAATCTCAGCACTTCTCTGTGAGTCTATTTAGAAAAATGAAAAATTATTCTTGATTTGATTTATCATATATGTTTTTTAACATTTGCCTGCTGTGCATATTATGATTCATATATTTCTTTTTTCTTCATTTTCTAAGAAATAAGCATATTGTGAGAGATTTTCTCTAATGTTTGCATGCAATTTGCACAGATTGGGAGATCGGCAGGATTTAACTTGGGTGGATCATATTCATCTCATCGGCCACAGCAGCAACATGCTCCATCAGCCAGTGGTAGCGGGGTATCCTTTCCACCTATAAACAACCAAGATCTTCTCCATTTACATGGCTCAGATATTTTCCCTTCATCACACTCGAGCTACCACTCACAGGTGTGATAGTCTGGGCTGTTGATGGTTTCTTGCAATGTAATTAGGTAGTTATTTGTTGGTAGGAGGAAATAGATTCTTTCGGCATATTTCTCTTATGGTACATGGGATCCCAGATCCATAAATTATTTGAAACATCATATTGAAGAGTGTTTCAGTAGCTGGGTTGAATTGAGATTCATTGTTGGTCAAACTGAGAGAACGTGAAATTGACCCCTTTTTCTCTTTTAACATCCTGCGAAAAAGATCCATTGAGAGCTTAAGAATTTAGTTTGACTTCCTTTTGTTGGATGTTATGCTTGTGTCCGTTTAATTTGTGCATTACTATTATTATCTTTTCCTTATTTGGTAGGTTTTAATTGGAACTACTCCTAACATCCTCTTTCATCTTTGGTTTAGGCTAATGGACCACCTGGAGTTGGATTAAGACCTTTAAATTCCACAACTACTGTTTCTGGAATGGGTTATGATCAGCTCATCCAGCAATATCAGCAACATCAGAACCCTTCCCAGTTCCGTCTTCAACAGATATCAACTGTCAATCAATCATTTAGGGAACCAGGCATGAAGTCAATGCAGGCTGCACAGTCTAATCCAGATCCATTTGGTTTACTCGGTTTGCTAAGTGTAATAAAGATGACTGATCCTGATTTAACTTCCCTTGCTCTCGGAATTGATCTGACTACACTTGGCTTAAACTTAAATTCATCTGAAAATCTTCACAAGACTTTTCGTTCTCCGTGGTCTGATGAACCAGCTAAGGGTGACCCAGAGTTCACTGTGCCACAATGTTATTACGCCAAGCAACCACCCCCATTACATGTAAGCTGTTTCTGCTTTTGTTACTGCCTGAATATGTGGAATTTTCTGTCATAGTTCTGATTTATTTTTGGTTAATACAGCAAGGCTATTTTTCAAAATTCACTGTGGACACATTGTTCTATATATTTTACAGGTGTGTTTTTCTTTAATGACCTTTCTGTATATTTAAGGATCCTATTCTTAGCCATCTGTATTTCTCTGTTTGTCACGCAGCATGCCTAAAGATGAAGCTCAACTATATTCTGCAAATGAACTGTATGGTCTCTAGTCTCTACTAAATGAATTCTGTTGAAACCTTTATACCCTTTTTTCCAACCTTGATTTTTCATCTCTTATTGGCAGTTATAATAGAGGCTGGTTTTACCACAAAGAGCACCGAGCATGGTTCATAAGAGTCCCCAATGTTGAGCCACTGGTTAAGACAAACACATACGAGAGAGGTTCTTATCACTGTTTTGACCCAAAGTCATTCGAAACAATCCGCAAGGTTAGAACTATTGTATTCCCTACTGTGTTTATCTATGCATCCTTTCTTTTATGCCGTCCGTGACTCTAGTTGTAGTTGCTGAATGCTGTCTCTGTACTTTTACTGCAGGACAATTTTGTTGTTCATTACGAGATGTTGGAAAAGAGACCAGCTTTACCTCAACATTAAACATGTTTATTTATTTATTTTTCTGGTGTAGATTGTAAAGCTTAAAAGTAATTTAAGTCCTTCATTAGAAACATCAGATTGCAATGAGTAGGAAATATTTATGGCCTTTTCCCCATCTATTCTAAGGCTTTTTCATTCATGCCTGGAATATAGTTATGTTCTTAATCTGCTTCCTAGTTGATAGGAGAAAAATGATTGACGTGAGATGACTAGAAGATAACTTTTCACATAAAAATATTTAGTTTGAAAATTTTAAATATGATTACTTTACACGTCGGGTTTGAAAACGTTACTGACAGTATAAGTTGGTTACGCAGCTTTTCAAGAGAATCTGGAATGTCTGTCATGCTGATCTCTGATTCAAGAAAAACTAGTATTATAAACAAGCATTGGATGGCAATTTTTTAATTCAATGGTGTTGTGGTGAATAGTTAAATAACTCGTATCTATGGATGTCGATAGTGTAAGAGAAGTTTGTTGTGGAATTTTGGGTTTTCACCCGAAGAACTTCCTTGCTATGCAAGAAATGTTTGAAAGAGCAAAACGACAGTGTCACTGGGTAAACACGAAGGTGTCGAAAAGCTCTCCTAGTACCTCCACTTCTTAAAAAGCAGTCTTCAAGTTAAACCCAAAATATTACATGAAATAAAAAATTTAGGGTGAAACGAGTCTTATAGTTGCGGTGGCAAGAGGTTCGCTATGCGTAAAATTCTATGGCACTTATTACGGGTGGCAGTGTGGAATCGTCGGTTGGTACTAGCTTAACACTCAAAAGTGCCGACACGCAGTGAGTTTGTCCAGACACTGACACTGTTCTGGTATTCAGGGCTGCTAATGTTTAACTGTCGTTGACAATTCCATTGAAGGATCTAGTCTCACATGTTTTCAGGAATGGCTCGGTGAAGTACATGTCCAAATGGTACTCGCGAAAACCCAATATTTCATTAATGCTGTGAATTTTTACGAAAAATTGGAGTATTTTACATCATAAATTTTGCAACAAAAACAATATTTCCCCGGCAGCACCTAACATACCGGAATTTGATCATCGTTCCACGTATGCTTTCATCAACCGGAAAGTAAAATGGCTCTCTTGAATGGTAGGGTCTTCGGTCCATCTTAGAAAAGTGCATCTTTGGTTAACGAAACCTCAAGGTACAAGAACGTGCCCAAGGAAGATAGTCTAAGTTTACACAAATCGTGTACGAACTATGTGATCTCAGTGATTAAAAAGTTGATATTTCTTGAGGTTCCAGATTCAAACACTGCATATATAAAGATATATGAATATTAATTATCAAATGATTAAGAATTTTTAAACAAATATTATCTTATATTCATTCATAACTAATATAAAAAAAGTTTACACAACAAATACAATTATGGCATAGTTGACAGAAAAAGTGAAATACACATGATGACCGGTCAGCAAAAACACATATCACGTCAAATTGGTGTATTCAATTTAGCATTTGAGTAATCAAAAGGTCCAAAAATAAACAATTAAAAATTCAATGATCTAAATAAAAAATAGGGTTAGTGATCGAAACTGAAGTAAGGTTAAATTGGAGTGATGAAAGCGTAGTTTACCCCCATTTTATTGGATAGCCAAATAAATACTCATTAATGTTCAAAAAAATTATTTTTCACCATCAAAATTTTAAAAAATTATATTAATGACCACTAATATTATTGATCTATAATAAAACGATCACCTATCATTAACTTTCGATGATTTGACGACGTACATCATTCCAAATGCAATTTTGGCAAAGTTGACACAAAATCTTGACTCTTTTGATTTTTGTATATAGGCATTAGGCACCCTGTGCATATATTGTAACATCCCAAACTACGGGTTAGTGACTAAATTATAAGAAATTTGGAATTTGTTGATTAAAGTGGAAAAGTTGAATAGTTTAATGATTTAATTGGAAATATTTCCTAAAATTTTATAGTAATTATCCAAAGAATTAAAGGACAAAATGGTCATTTAGCATGAAAGATATTTTTCCCCAATTATATGAATGATTATTGTGGGGTGGGGAAGAGTTATCTACAAACTCTTCTTCCTTCTTCATCTTCTTTCTCCCCGTAGAAGCTAGGCAAAGGTAAGGGTTTTCTATTTTGTTGATTATTTGTTGAATTGAAGGTTGAGTTTTGATTATTAGATGACAACTATGCTTAAGGAAAGCTTAAGTTGTCTTATAATCAAATGATGACGAAGTTGTAAGAGATTAAAGAAAATGAGTTTTTATATGAAATCATGGAAAATAGTTGATAAGTTGAATTTGAAGTTAAATTTGACTTGTCATCATGCTAATTAAAGAATATGAAGTGATAGAATTGAAATTAGAACATGATGAAAATTTGGTATGATTATTGAAATTCATATGAGGGATAGGATTTTGAGATTAAAGATGGTTTTTATGGATATAAGTTGGTTTAAGTGATGGTAATGGCAAGATAGGGATTTAAAATAGAAGAATTGATTGAAGAATTGATGATTTTCGGGCTTGAAATACAATTTCTGGGCAGAGGTAACCGATACCCTATGAAGGGGCATCGATTCCCCCCTTGAACGAAAAATTCCAGTATGTTCAGGGGTTACCGATTCCCCCTAAATGGAAAATGAAATTATGGTTCGTAAAACTAGCTTAAGTTATTAATATCAAGTTTAAGGTTTAGGCTTCTGATGGTTGTTTTGAAATGTTATATTTATGTAGATATTGAGCCTAAACAAGTTTCCGGAATAATCAAAGGACTAGGATTGAATCAAAGTAAGGCTAAGGTGAGTGCAATTTTAATTGTACTTATATTATTGAACGAACATTGGCTTGCGATGAGCCAATAATGGAGTTACTATGGTAAAAAGTGACTCCTAAAATGTTATTTGAATTGTGATTCTTATGTTTGTATGAGTACATGAAAATGGGTACGTGTGTTATACTTATTGCATATGTTACATGAATTGAGTGAACACATATTAGTGTGACGAGCTATGTGAACTGGTTTAAGTAGTGGATGTGATTATATAAGTTGTATAGTATAAATATGTGATATAAGACATAAGTTAAAGAACTATATGATATGAGATAAGATAGACACATGCTATTATAAGTGACTATAGAATCACGAACTATATAAAATATCAAGGATTTATGTGATAACAAGAGAAAGGATATAAATTACATGAGTAAGATATATATATATATATATATCAGAATTGATATAACCAAATTATGCGATTAGATGACAAGTGGGATAAGTTAAATAACATTGATCTATAGTACAATATGAGAATTGTATATAAACTAGGAGACATTGACAGAAGTGACTATACGAACATGTAAGATAAGTTATATGGGGAAAAGTTATGAGATTAAATGAACATATAATATATGAGTCATATGGTAAAGACTTATGAAGCTATAGGAAAATGCTATGGAAATTATGTGATGATAAGTTATGAGAATATATATATATATAGGTAATAAGATATGTGAAATTGAATTAAGTAAATATATGAAATTAGAATATATATATTTAATGTGAAATAAGTGATTATGTAAAACTGTGAGAAGTTATAGGACATTGATAATTGAATTAAGTAAATATATGAAATTAGAATATAATATATATATATATATATATATATATATATATTCAGCCTCCTTTTAATTGGAAAACATACAAGTCATGTATCGGAAACATACCTAAATCCCCTTGTTTAGCAGCAACGTGGAATGCATCAAAGCCATTTCTAGCTTTCATCCAGCATCTGCAAGATCATAATACTTGATCATCTCCTCAACCAATTCGACATACCGTATTCGGCTGCCACATAGAGGGCGGTTTCACCCGATGAGTTCTGTTTAGGCAACAGTTTCTTCAGCTCATCCTCCTCGGTATTCGTTAAGATTTCCGACACTGCAGCAAGGTTTCCAGCTCTTGCCGCAGCATGAAGGGACGTATCATCGCGTTTTCCCGTTAATTGTTTGGTCATCTTTTTCCTACGAGCAGGAACAGATGGCAGCTCGCTTGAAGGTCCCTCCATTGTAATCGAAATCAAGATTTCTTCTTAGATTATCTTTAACTATGAATTGAAAGGGTTGTTTTTCATCTGGAATAAAAAAAAACCAACTAGCGAAATGAGATTCTAAACAAGTCTTGAATGCTATATACGGAGCTTGATTCCTTCCTGTGGTGTCTGGTTCTATGGAGTCTCTTGCATACAAAAATATTACACGCCTGTTTACAACAAGAACAACACCCAACTTGAGCTTTCCAAAAACACAAAACGAGGTTTTCTTTGAATGAAAGGGATAAGAAAACAGCTTTAGAAACCAAAAAGAAAAGGAAAATGAAGCCTTTTTCATCCATTTTGCAAAAAGAAGCAGCATGATAAATAACAATTATCCGAGTTTGAATGAAGGAGCTATCTTTTCCCCCGTCCATCAAAAACCAAAGCACCCATTTAAGTTGGAAGAAACTAGAACAAGAAAAGGTTGAAGGTTTGGCTCTAGAAACATAAAAAGCACATGTCTTTTCGACTGTATGCGAATCTACAACTCCTCCACCCCACAAAACTGTTCCAATAAAACGGAGACTTATGTAACGGTGACGATCGAAATAAATATATGGCAAATGATCCTTCTTCTTCTTCTGGAAAACAAAAACAGCTTTTAGCCTAAATGGAGCGATGTTGGCTTATGAAACCAACGGAATTAACAGAAGCCACGCGCCTCTCCAATCGTTTGAATTAGCTATTCCATTTTAAGATGCTTTTCTAGAGCCAGAACTGTAAAAAAATAAAAATAAAAAACAACTTCAACATTTTTCATTCCTTACAATTGCACCCTTAGACTTTTTCCTTTTATAATTTAAACTTTAAATTTTCAAATTTCCTTTTTTTTAAAAAAAAAATTATGAGTGTTTTTATTAAAATATGAGTTAATTGCATCACACATCCTCAAAGTATGACCCTCATTTTAAATTAGTTTCTAAACTTTTATATGTTTCAACTACATCCGTAAACTATGACTATCATTCTAAATAAGTCCTTAAACTTTTGAATATTTCAATTTCATCCCCAAACTATGATATTCATTCTAAATTGGTCTCCAAACTTTTTGAACATTCCAATTTCAACCCAAACTATACGTATATACTAACCACATCCCTTGTTAATAAAATCATCAGACCGAGTTATATATATAATATGTTTAAAAAAACAATGTTTAGATTAAATTATGGTCGAAATCAATTACATATTCAGATGAATTTGAGGATGAAATTGGAATATTCAAAAGTTTTGGGACCAATTTAGAAAGAGGGTCATAGTTTAGGGATAAAATTAGAATATTCAAAAGATGAGGAACCAATTTAAAATGAGGGTTATAGAATGGGGACATACGATGCAATTAACTCTTAAAATATCATCCCTACAAAATTATTTTGGGAATCATTTACTTCAGACAATTCCTTAAAATGATAGCCTTTTAGTAAAGGAACATCACGTCAAACGCATTTTTTCAGAAGACGTTCTTTTAATAGTCGATGCCTTTTCTTCATGTGACCAAAAAATTATATGAATTTTGTGTAAAAAGAATAAACATACATAAATAGATTAATGGTTAATATTTTTTTTATGCGACGTGACAACGTTAATGATATAATTGGAAAAACAAACAAATGTTGACAACTCTTTATTACTCACACTCAGGTCGTAAGTAATATAGCATGTAGCTAACCAACCGATCATGGTCAAGCTTTCAAGTGTACAGATAACCCTTGATCCTTGAGCTGGCTCTGTCTATGACTTGTTTCCTTGATCCTTGCTACAGCTACACAATCATACAAGCAATATTAGCAAATGATTAATTTTAGGGAAACTGGGGTTCTGATTATTGATGTGGTATTACCCGTGGCTGCCTGCCTATGTCGTTTCTCTATGCAGTGAAGAAGACCCGGAAAGAGCAACGGCGGTTTGCCAAAACACTGATGTGCATCAGTGTTATCCTTTATAATCTTGCTGGATTTTTATTTTAAGGAGACAACTGGAATACCATTTGTATAAGAAAATTATAAAGCAAATATCTATTATGGAGCTCATAGTTGTAGGTTAACCAATAAGGTTTCAGATCTCAACTCAAGTACTTGAATCACTATATAAAAGATCATAGACTACTAATGATTTAAGAAATCACACCCAAGATGATTAAAACAAAAAGAAGAATTTAAATATTTTAATGGCAACAAATGATCCAAAGAAATTAAAAAAGAAACATTTGAATATAATTCACCTACCTCTAATATACTTTACTCGTAAATCTAATATCGAACTACTCAATGGTAATAACATGCGACACGTACACATTCCCACCCCTTCTCTAAATAAAACACACACAAAAAGAAAGAGGTTCAAGGTGGACAAGTAGCATTGATGTGCACAGTTCATAATTCGTATATGTAACTTCAAAACATAATTCTTTTCCCCCAAAAGTTCCAATTCCATCATATTGGATGCTGCAGTTGGATTTCATGAGATCATTTTCACCCGCTAAATTCTAATCAAAGAAGAATTAGATGCAGCAACTGGTGCGAATTCAGACCTGAAGATATCAAGCCATCTCTTTCAAAGGACTAGAAGCTCCATTTTGTATTTTTTGCGGAGGAGCAAGCTTCGGCAATGTATTTTTCAAGTTCTTCCCATACAGGGAGCCAAACACGATGACCTGATCAAGGCATTGGATATATCATCACGCTTTGGAAATCAACGATAATGTACAACAAAATGTAGTTGAGACTTACTGCTCCAATCCATTGTTCCCAACTGAGGGGATGGCCAAACCACACACATGACAGCATGATGCTCACCAGCTTAAACAATAGAGGGGAGGAATCACCATCGATTAGAAACATAGCATTGGTGGGAGAAACGTAAGAACGAACTTTCTTGTTTGAAATTTAGATGATACCTGTCTTGTGGTCATTATGGCAGCAAATGTGAGAGCACCAAATGTACGAATCGTGTAAGAAATAAAGAATTGACTGGCCGTTGCTACCTATAACAGATAATTCCGTATAAATTTATAGACCCAATTATGTGATCTTTAAGTCTGGGACTATAATACTTGGCATCTGAATTCAAAACTAAATTTTAAGAAAGAAAAAGAAGGGCATAACTGATGATCTTGTCATCAGTTTGAGCCTATTAAAATTATAACAGGAAAGCAAGATCACTTACAGTGGAAAGCAATAAAATATCAAGGAAACAATCGTTGTGGCGATAAACAAAATCTACGGCTAGAAGTAATTGTCCCTGTAATATAAGACCTAAACCAGAACAGAAAAAAAGTCAATCACAACCAGTAACCAATCAGAAAAATGCAAGGCAAACAAATCAAAGTTAAAGGTAAATAAAACTACAAAACAGATCATCATTCCTAAAATAAAGGAGGAGTTTTTACCCGTCAAGCTGAGAACACAAGAACACAATGTTGTGTAGAATATTTGATTATGTATTTCCATATCGTAGCCTTTAAATAACTTATCTTGGAATGTGCTTGTAAAGCCATCAAACCTGTGAAAAGGCAAATGAGCATTTAAATGCATTGAAAGCCTTCTCTCTCAAAAGCATTCAAATTTGCCATGCTATTTTGTTTGGATTGAGATTAAAGAAGTACTTCAGCCTAAAGGAACCAAAGCATGCCGGAGTTGGTGCAATTAATGTAACAGATGTTGGTAATAAATCTGCAATTTAGAGTTTAAATCTGACATGGTACAATATCATTTTGTACTTTTAAGATCCAAACTACAGAACGGATCGAATAAAATCTTTTACAGCGGGGGAACAAGTTTCAGATTGATACCCAAGATAACCGACCATCAGAGAAACGCCCCAAACAGTATTTTCTCTTCCTTTGTTGTAAGGACTAATGTCAGTTCCTGCCTACGGTGAAAGAAGAGTTAGTTTGCAAAATATAAATTTATAGAACAATCTAAAACGGCAAATCTCCAATAATAATAAAAAAAGGAAGAATCCTTTATTCTACAACAATGCATCATGTATGACAGCAACCACCAAATAGAGCAAATTAAGTATTGTGGTTCAATGCCACAATTTTAATATGTATATCCAAAAGCAGCCCGCCTCTATCCACCATTCAAGCTCTTATAGAAAGCATACCCAAGTAAATCATGTACATGGAAATAATGAAAGAAATTAGTACGGTTGACAAAGACCAGAATTTTACCGGAAATAATATAAATATTGAGCAACCTAGGGTCACCAAAAAAGCCACCAAATAGTCAAAGCCCTTATATTTCTTCTGCATGATAATAGTGCTCCAAACCTAAGAGAGAGAGAGAGTCTTTAGAGCACATTGCCACTTAAAACCAGTAACAATAATAATAAAAAAAAAGACAAAACATTAAGCATCATTGAATGAAATATATGCGTCCAAGAACTTGCATGCACCCCGATTTGGCCATTTAGGAATATCATATGCATAACCCTCATAGTTCATGCAAAACTAACTTACCATTACAGGTATCATTTTTGCACACTTAGCAAGGGTTTGAACTGGAAAGCTGACATATTTGAGGGCCTGCATCACAGTAATGTTATCATTAAAATTAACATTCAAGCACAGCATCTAAAGGTGCTTTTTCAGAAAACTTATGTTCAAATACAAATATTGTGGTGATAAAATTTGTGTAAATGAAACACGATTGTATTATAATCTGATATAAGGATACTGGTATATAGTTTACCTCATACTGACATGTTGTGGTTAGGATGTTTGATACTGATATGAGGCAGTACTTATAGACTGGTGCAACAGGATCCATGGCTTTCTTACTTGCCTAGGACCCAAAAAGAATATCAAAGTATTAGAATATGTTAGCCGATCTTGCCATCTATTATGCAACATAGTTCATCTCTTGGTTATTTTGTAAGGACAAAGCATGCAACTCGCAATATTTCAGCCAAAAAGTGAAACACATAGAATCATCTGATGATCCCCCACCTCCCCCTACAAACTGCCCCCTTTGAGGCACATTGCAAATTATACACACACACAAAACAGTATTATATGTAGTTGTAGCAACTTGCGAAAAGGTAATTACATACCAGTAGAGAACCAGCAGACACAGCAGATGTTGTGATGCGGTTGCAAAAAACAAGAAATAATGAGTACTTAAAATATTCATTGTTTACCCCATAAGGGACTCTAATGATCTTTTCCTGCAGGAAAGCAAACCTCCATTAACATCATCAACAAAAGAACATATCTACATGCACTAAACATGAGTAAAGAACATAAGTTAACAGGTAATTTACACAAGTCTCCTTTAAAAGATGGATGATCATGCAGCTAATGACAATTTATCATATTTCTTTTTTTTGATAGGAAATAGGCCCCGTTAAAAACCCCATTCTTAGTTATTGTGTTGAAAAAGCACAATAACCAAAGGCAAGGGAAAAGGGTGCCCATAGTTTATTACCAAACATAGGAAATACAACCAGACCGACACACACAAACAAAACCGACTTACAACAACCCTGAAACCCCAAACTCACCAAGCCACAACCTCAGCACTCACTAACCTATTCCATATTTAGCTAAACAGTCAGCTTCCCCATTAATACATCTGCTAATATGCCTAAGAGAAACACTAAACTGCAACACTGTCTTCTGAATTTCTTTGATCAAGTCAACATAGAGAACCGGGCACAATTCCGGGCTGTTGATCCATTTTAGAGCAAGAAAAGAATCACTTTCCAAGATTAAAAAACCTTTATCCCTCCAAACTGAATCAAAAAATAACTCTAACCCTGCTTTGATCGCAAAAATCTCTGCCTGAATCGGAGGGCACGGGCCTGTTGCTCTCGAAAAGGAAGCCAGCTTCATATTATCAACATCCTTTAAGATTCCTCCTATACCACTTCTTCTCCAATCAAAAGTAACTGCCCCATCAACATTCACCTTAAAGTAACCCGTAGGGGGAGGACTCCACTTCAAATTTTGCAGCCGCACCTTGAAAGGTGAACGATGCACATCCGCTAAAGTTAAATCACCCACAAGGCTATCAATATTAATAGAAACACTCTTATATTTAGCCAGGAACCACGAAGCCACCCTATACCTCACCAAGAAAAACAAATTGGCATTATCCATCTTACCATTCTGAAACACAATTTGATTTCTACAAATCCAAACAGTCCACAGAACTGCTCCCGGAATAAATTGCCATATAACCGAGTTAGGCCTTAATTCCGCCCATGAAAGCAAGAAACCTTCAGGGTTATTGGGTAGCACTGAACTAACATTCCACAACCGGAGTACTTTAACCCAAATCTCCCAAACCTGAACACAAGAAAAGAATAAATGACACACCGATTCAGGTTCCCCTCCACAGAATACACAATTAGGATTTTCAATACCTACGACACCTCTACTCAATAAAACTGCTTTGACAGCCAACTTCTGGTGAACAATTTGCCAAAGGAAAACCTCCACTTTAGGTGGAACTAACCCCTTCCACACTATCTCCGCCCAAGACCCAACTGGCTCGGATAACCTTGAAATAATACTAGAGCAAGACTGCACCGAAAACACGCCATCCCCACTCCCTTTCCAGGCATAACAATCTTCACCCATCAAACTAGGACGGAAATTCTTCAACAAAACCATCATTAACAGTGTCTATATTTCTTAGTACTCCTATTTGTTTTAGGCACCCCACTAGCTAGTCCTGAGGAATATCAACCTGCATGCAGCTGGAATTAATACTCAACTTTAATTCTAGCATATATCTACTCATCAAAATAACAAGTTGGATTTAAATTTCCTAGTTTTTGATGAAATGTATGAGAATCGTTGTGATATATCCATCACCATAGCCAATTAAATTCCCTTTTATTTATCTAGTTTTTCTTTGCATTTTCCAAGTTCCCGAGCGAAAGGGTATCAAGATCTTCCAACAGATTCCAGAACTTGTATATTTTCCATATCAATCGTTCTAGAAACTTTAGTAAACCTATTAAATTACAAAAAAGAAAAACCAACATTTCAATCTTTTTGAGATTCTCTTTAGGTACAAAGATGCAATTAAAAATAGCAACAGAAATCCTATTAATATGATCACACAAAAAAAAAACTAAAAATATACAGGAAATCTTAAAGTTCTCCATCCGGAAAGCAAAAAAAAGTACCTGTAATATTCCATAGATAACAAGAGTAACCATGATTCCACTGACAGCAAAAACTCCTTTCCATAATTTGTTCTCCTTCACTCCGTTCGTCGCTGGTGATGGTTCGGCCATGGCCCATTCAGCACTAAACCCGAAAATATTAAATTCAATAGAAACTTCTTTTTTATAAGGAATGAAAACTTTTTTTACAATAGATAGAGCGAAGGCATTAGAATATTGCCGGATACTGTTCGGAGTGGATCAAACCGAAAACTCCCGTTTTGTGGCGGGGACACGTGGAGGAAGAACGAGAATCGGAAGCTTGGGACGGAGAAAACAAAAGAGCTGTCGTTTTAAGCTATGGATAGATCGGAGTTAGTGGCGTTTAAAGCTATGGATGGATCCTGTGGCGAGGTTTAAAGGGTTTGCCTCCTTAGCCGCCGGAAATGGGATTTAATGGAAAGGCGAGTGGGCGCGTGTTATGATATACCATTTTCAGGATCGGTTAGCATTGATTTCAAATTTTGATTTTGGGTTAAAATAATTTTTGTACTCATAAATAATATTTTAAAACTATAATTATAGTTTTAATTTTTATTATATATAAATAAGACGTTAAATTCAACTCTAGAAAAAATGTATCATAATAATAGAAAATTATGTTACAAAATAATAAAAAATATAATGCCCCAAATTTGAATCAAATCATTTAACAAACCCATAAATCTCACATTATAATCGGTAATCACCATAGTAGCTCACAGTTAAAAACTTGTGTATTATTATTTAATTAAAATAAATTTTAAAATTGATTAAAATTAAATAATAAAACAATTATCATAAAATGTAGAGCTCCAAAGTTAAATAATTAAATAAATAACAAAATACGTATAGCAAGTTTATAGATTAAAATCATTTAGTAAGAGCCTTACGAATATAAATACCCAGTAGAAGTGAAAACGTGTTTTATTATAAAATAGATCACTATTGGAACCCCCAAAGATGGTGTTGACCTGATCCAAACTCAATATCCAACAATATACTTATATACACACAAATAATTTCAAATATTAAATTTTTGGAATTAAAAAATACACGTTTACTATACTATAATTTATGAACATCATAAACTTAAACATAATGATACTTATTATATATAATGATTAAAGCATACATTTGTCAATTTACGTATTTATACGCATCTTAAAATTATATCACACTTATCGATACTAAATTACATATATCAAAGGTACTCGTATTTCGAGTAGTAGGATGGACACAGGACTTAAAATCGATAGGTTTTAACCCGATCGGATTGGATTTTTTTTAAATCAGGTTTAGGTTGGGTCATATCAGGATTTTTAGAGGTTATGTTCGGTTCAGGTTCGGATTTATGATGAAATATATCTAATCCGACCCGATCCAAAAAAATATAATTTTACGATTTTTTTGGGTGGGGGAGAGTAATGTTTTTGTGTTCACATTTATCAACTTTACGATTTTATATTAAGCTCATGGAATCATCATAAAAAGAAGTGATTTTTAGGCTTATTTAATATTTCAGCAACATATAGAATCAATACTCCTTATGGGATATCGATATTTAATTTTAAGTGTCATACCAAAAGTGAGTATAAGTATCGAAATAACATACTGATTTTTAATTGCATTAAGTGTCGATGTTACAATTTAACAAAGTCGCCTTGAATATTTTCGAGGTCTTGAGCAAAAATTCAAAAATATACTCTATAAAATGAAAATATATCTTATTACTTTGAATAATTAATTTAATGTTATATTAATATATCATAGAAAAATGATTAAATTTTATCAATCATATAATTTGTATTACTTTATTAAGAAAACACCGTAAATACAACTAAGAGAAAATAAGTAAGAAAAATTTGAATTTGGATATAATACTTAGCTTGATTTTGAACAATAAATGAAAAATAGTGAATTATTTTATTATTAGACTGAGATTAAAAAAGAATAGAAGTTAAATAATATTTGATAAATTGAAAGATGATATTTAAAAAAAAAAGAAAAAATTTGATTAAATTTAATTTAAAATAGAATAAATTAATACGATAAATGAAAAAAGGTCAAAAATTAAAAAAATTATAAAATAAAAAAATTAAGATTTCAATTATAAATATAAAAATCAAGGGACTCATTTATAAATATAGAAATTAGGCCTTCAATTATAAATATAATTGTAAATATATAAATTGAATGTCATAAACTTTCACTATCCTGCCACGTCAACCATAATCGAAGGCGCGAAGACAACGCCTACTCACAATAAGCGGCCGAAAATGGATCCCAAAAATTCTAAACCATCTCTACCGTAAACTCACTGCCATAGCTCAAATCCATCCAACGGTTCAAATCTATCACGTCATCGATCCTTGTCAATCTTAAAAGTCCAATACCCGCTTCAACTCTTGTTTATATAATGACCGCCTAACTTCAATTACAAACATCCCATTCTTTATTTTTGCGAATTAAAAACTCTTTTTCTTTCCTAGAGGTCAAACAATTCCCAACTACCGAAGAACAATGGCACCAAAAGCTGAGAAGAAGCCAGCGGAGAAGAAGCCCGCTGAGGAGAAGAAGACAGTAGCCGAGAAGGCCCCGGCGGAGAAGAAGCCAAAGGCTGGCAAAAAGCTTCCCAAGGAAAGCGGAGCAGCGGCCGGAGACAAGAAGAAGAAGAGGGTTAAGAAGAGCACCGAGACTTACAAGATCTATATCTTTAAGGTCTTGAAGCAGGTTCACCCAGATGTCGGGATCTCAAGCAAGGCTATGGGTATCATGAACAGTTTTATCAATGATATCTTTGAAAAGCTTGCTCAAGAAGCCTCCAGACTCGCGAGGTACAACAAGAAACCGACCATCACTTCCAGGGAAATCCAGACCGCTGTTAGACTTGTACTTCCTGGTGAGCTTGCAAAGCACGCCGTTTCTGAAGGGACTAAGGCCGTAACTAAGTTTACATCTTGAAAATTGTAATTTGGGGACATGCAGTTAGGGTTAATTTTTTTTTTCATTTTCTAAAAAAAGATTAAATCGCTTAGTTTTAACTTCCCTTTGTCCATTGTCGTGCTGTTATTTTTTTCAGATTGCGTATGTGTTTTCAGTATGGATCAGCTCGATCCTGTTGGTAGACTTGAATGAGATCAATCACTACAATTTGACATTTGTTTTGTGAATTATGGATTCAATTTGGAATTTTTTAGATTGCAAACCGTTGGGAAGTTGATGTTGATGTATGGGTAATGAAAGAATTTGGGTGCAATATTCTTCGAATTAGTTGATATCCATAGAAGAACCTGAGTTTATTTTGGGTTTTCAGTTTATGAAACGTTTTCGAAAAATGTTGACAAAGTAACATTTTGATCATCTAAATTAAAAAGTGTAACATTTTGTTAATTTAATGTTTTGATCACTTTTTAATTATATTATCAGTTTATAAGTTATATCGATTTGATTGCTAGAAAATTAACATTGTCAATGACAGTGATTATCAATATATAAATAGTTAAATAATTTGATTGATAAATTTAAAGATTGGTGATAAAAAATAATAATAATTAAATGGTCACAAATATAATTTACTAAAAAAATATTTATATCTGATTGAAGAAAATAAAAAAAAATTACTTACTAAAAATATATTTATATCGGATTGAAGGAAATAAAAAAATAAATTACATATATAATTATTAATGTTTAAGTAATTTTTTACTTTTTCCACTAAAATTTTAAAATTAATAAAATTAATCATTAACGTTATTAATTTAGAACAAATTAATTATTAATATTATTAATTTATAATAAATTAATGTTAATAAATTAATTATTCATTATTAATAATCATTAAATTAATAATAAAATAATAATGTGACATGTGATAACCACAATAATCACTAGGTGACTTCAAATAAATATTTTTTTTAATATACCCTACCTCTCCTTTCCACCGTTCTTTCTCTTCTTTGTCTTTCATCATCCTCCCCTACATGACCCTATAAGAGGAGGTATGAATCGAATGTCAGAACGAATTCCACATTGTTACTCTGGTAATCTTACCCCTGATGCACAGGTAGAGTCAGTTAACAGACGCAAAGGTTGAAAAGTTGAATACCTTTAACGTTCGAGCTTGTTCGATGCACTAATTGAACGTGAGCTTCAAGTGTTGTACTTTTGTTTCCTTTCCTTCTTGCTCGACGTTGTGCTCATGCTAAATGGCAACAGCTCTCCTTAGAATTTGATTGTTATCTAACAAGCTCTGCAAATGTTCCTTCGAAGAAACATGCTCGATCTGATTCATGATCATGTATCACAGAAAAACGATTAGCTATATAGAGGATGAGAACGAAGCTTACTAAGAAATTAAAAGATTTTTTTACTACATCTTCAGTAGCCCTTTTATTCGCAACAACACGCTTCCAAAATCCTAGCAGCACAGGCCTTAGCATCGTCTATATTCGTTGCCATCGACATCTCTTGCACAAACAAATTTATCCACTTAGGAGAATCGACTACATTTTCGATATACTCAAAATTGTAGCCTGAGATTTGACTACCTGATTTATAACAAAAGAATAAAACCAACTTTGAATTCCGAACAAACTAGAACATACGAATGTTGGGAAAAATGGGTATATATGAGAATACATCTTTTCGTCTTTGTGTGGTTAAAATGGGCACATATATAAAAGACAGCAAAAACACACAATACGTAGGTAAAATCGTGAGACGCTAGTCCAATGTAAACTTGCCTTCCACTATTATATGAGTAGAGATATAAAATGTCTCACCAAATTAGGATGAGTTACAAAAATACTCACTTAAAGTTGACCTACTCTATATTTCTCTTTTTCTTGAATGGACTCTTTTGTGAATGTTTTTACTTGTTTGCTTGCTATATGCTAGCATTCCCAAGACCTCATATTTATAGTAGAGCAATGGGGTAAGCAACGGATGAACCATTGAAATGCTAACTTACATGAATGTGGATGATACATTTCCCCAAGTCATGTGATACATGACCCTAAGACCAATTAAGGAGGGATGCACCCATCACGAACTCGATTGAAAGTAACATATAAACGACTTACATCTATCAGTCTCACTCTCATCAGTACAATTTCCGATTCTTACAAAATCAAAATTATGTTGTTTATTTATTTTTTCAGTATCAGTAGAAATGCATTCAAACTTTTCTTAAAATCTTCGTTCTTATTGTTGTGGTTTTAGACAACAGATGTTATTAACTAAAAACATAAAACAAGATCTAGACATGATTAATGTTTCAACCTACTTTTAATAGACAAAATCTAAGTTATACCCAATAATCTAAATTTCAAAACATAGATAAATAAATGCCTGAATCAAACATGTAACAATCTTAAAAACAAACCAAATATGAAACGATTATAAGTTAACAAAGAGATGGATCCCTTAGTCATGTAGGGTCTTCCACTATTAAGGAAGATGATAAAAGTGAGAAGAGAAAAAAAAGGTGGAAAGGAGAAAAGAGGTTTATTCAAAAAATAATTTTTGGAAGTCAAAGAATGGTCAACATAGTTATAACATGCCACATCAGCATTTCGTTACTTATGTTAACGGCTGTTAACTGTGAGTGACTGATTTATTATAAATCAATAATGTTAGCGACAAATTTGTTAGTTTTAAAACTTCAGTGGGGAAACCAAAAATATATTCAAACATTTGACCATTTCTGTAGTTTACCCATAAAAAATAAACCTTGTTTCTCTTTGGTTCGCTCAAAACTCACACGGATCGCAAAGAATAAATTTTGAACCGTCGATATGTTACCATCTAACGGCACTTATTCATCCCTTGCCCCCAAGCCACCATTTACAAATTCACCGGTATAAAATGCTCAAACCTCAGCTCAATTGAATACATCTCCTGTACTAATCTGAATCTTCTCATTGCAAAGTTAAGAGTTTAAAGTGTTGAATCGTTTGAGCGATGGATTCTTCAGCAAAAGTAAAGAAGGGAGCTGGAGGAAGGAAAGGCGGTGGCCCCAAGAAGAAGCCTACCTCAAGGTCCGTTAAAGCTGGACTCCAATTCCCCGTCGGAAGGATCGGCCGTTATTTGAAGAAAGGAAGGTACTCGCAGCGGGTTGGAACTGGAGCCCCAGTTTACTTGGCTTCTGTTCTCGAGTACTTAGCCGCTGAGGTAGCTGAGAGTTCAATGAAATCGTTGATTTAGTTTTTTTTCTTCTTCTTTTACTTTTATGATTCTTAATTTGGTGACTTTGGGATTTCAATTCAGGTTTTGGAATTGGCCGGAAACGCTGCACGTGATAACAAGAAGAACAGGATCATCCCGAGGCACTTGCTGCTGGCTGTGAGGAACGATGAAGAATTGGGGAAGCTTCTCGCCGGCGTCACCATCGCTCACGGTGGAGTATTACCAAACATCAACCCAGTTTTGTTGCCAAAAAAGACTGAAAAGGCAGCTAAAGAACCCAAATCGCCATCAAAGGCTACCAAGTCTCCTAGGAAAGCTTAGTTTGAATTAAGAAACCTGGATTTTTTTAGTGGCTTTAGATTTCCAGTTATATGTTATTTGGAAGAATTTTCTTTGTGCTTTTGTTTCGTAGGGGAGGAATATTTAAAAGCAAATTCGAAGATTTGCAAAGAATCCTAGCATCATTTGTATGCTACTTCAATGGAAATGAAACACCTTGTCCAGAATATATGCTCTTTTGGTCCTTGTTTTTTGTAGTAACTTGGAATCATTTAGCAACTCGACTGGTATGAAAAATATGCATTTATGTTTGAGATTAGATGGGGATTCTCATACTCTTATCCTCCATAAATGGTAGCTATACTCTGGGAAAGAACTGCTGCATTTTAACAAATGTGTTTGTTGTTTTGATTGTGCAATCTGCAGAGTTTAAGCACGTCAATCCAAATTTCTTAGAGAAGATATGGCTACTTCAACTCAAGTTCCACTTCCACATATGATATCTATAGTTCGTAAGTATTTAATTTTAATTAAATATTCAATTGAAACTACTTTACAGCAGTTAATTGCCTCAACTCTTAAGGTTGGTTAATGCCTATTCACGTCCCCACTCCATTTGGAGTTATTCGTGAACGTGGATAAATGATGAAATATAATGGGTGGGTTTTAATGGCCAAACCACCCGTATAAATATCTATCTATCTTAAGTTGATGTCCCTAAGCATCAAATACAACACATTCCGAAGTATTTCATTCCAAAACATTTGGAAATCTAGTACATCTAAGTGAGGTATTGAATGCATAGAAGACCTTTGGCAGTTCGAGTTTTGTAGAGTTAATTTCGAAGTGTTCGACGGTAATTTATGATGATTCGACATTTTAGACGATAGTGTAATCACATGTCAGATTTCGACAATTTAATTAATGATTGGAGGTATTTATAAATGATTCTTTTTGTTGCATTTATGCTTGATGTATGCTTACATTAAGCACACAATGAAACCTCCACTTGCGGTAATTGAGAACATTGGTGTGTAATGCAAACTTTGATCCCTTGAATGTACAATAAATCTCGCTAACATAATAAATATATAAAAAATGGGTGCGAATTATACATAATAACAATTCAATGATTTTTGTTTGTATTGGAAAAGATATACCGACAGTTTTTTAAGTCATTTGGTATTGAACATTTTTGATAAACCTATATGCGTTAATCTTCGTGTTAATTTTTCCGCATATTATAATTTTTATGCGGTTTTCCTTACAATAGTTTCACCGTTGTTATTTGGGTTTCCTAGTTGTATAGATTCAACAATTCAACTGTTGTTTGTTTATTGGTGCATTTTTTTTGGCAAAACAAATTCAGTGATAATTCCTTAAGGTGGTTTATGTGTGCGATAACTTCGTTAAGGTGTTGTATATATATAAGATACGATACTATTGCACAATATAGATCTCTCTTAGTTTTACACAAATTTAGGACTATTAGATGAATGAAAATAGATGACTGAGATTAATAGTAAGAAATGAGAATATATTTGTAACACCCTCAGACTGATACGGGTGACCCGATCCGATCCGAGGTGTCACATTAGGGCCATCAGAGCGACCACAGAAAAAACCAAGAAAAAATATTTTTTTTGTTAAAACTGTAAAATCATAAAACAATTTATAATTAAAATAAAAATTCAGAAAAACATTCATATATTACAAACAAAATTAAGATCATACAAGTTTTAGACTCAGTATAAAAATCCAATATGACCTACATGCCCTAATTATGCTTGTACAGTACTCTGTATGCCAAGCTGAATGAACTCCCATTAATGAAGTCGATAGCTGCACTGAATCTATTTTTTTAACATGAAATGGTGAGTAAAATAGTAAGCTTTGGGGAGCTTAGTAATAAAAAACTATCATGTTATGCTGAAGGACATACAAATAAATGACAAGCATAAAAATTTTCTCATTGATTCAAGCATCTACATGTTTTCGTGATGAGCTAAAGTTTCACAGATAATTCTTCGGGTAACAGAAAAGTAGCTTATAGCTCAGAGGAAACATTTAGAAGACCAGGTTCAGAGATTGAAACAGACGTCTAGTGTGTTCCTTCAAAACCATAATAAAATGTAATCATAGTTTAAAAACAGTAGTAGTTATTTCAGTAAAACAAGTTTTTAAAATCACGGTAGTACTCTCCATCCAAATACTCCATGTGAAATTCCCCAGGACTTCATCCATAAGGACTTACCATAAACCTCTAGAATCTAGAAGTCCAATATGAATGATCATAACATAAAAGATTTACCAACTAGTTGAACCTCATAGACTCCATAATCCTACCCAATCAAAACCCCAATAAAACAGTTTCAGATAGAACCAGTAATATCATAAAACAGAAAACAGAAGTTGGGTTTTTATTTAAAATACAGATTTTCTCTCCAACCGTACACCAAATGCAGTACTCCATAACATGCACCCATAAGGACTTACCTTAGACCCCTAGGATCTATTAGTCCAATATGAATGATCAGAACGAAAAGAATTTACCAGCTAGTTGAACCTCAAAGTCTCTAAACACCTACCTAGAAAGTAGCCCAATAAAACAGATAAGATAACAAACAATAATATCAGAAATCAGGAGCTAATTGTACCTTGTGTCAGAAATCAAAAACCAGATATCAAAAATCGTACTTTATATAAATCAGAGAAAACATTCTTGTCAATAGGGAACATACTAGAGGATTTAGATATTTTTTGAATGCACTTAAAAATTATCAGGAATAGAAAGTATGAACTTACGCAAAATTGATCAGATTTCAAGATCAAGGTCCCTATTAAAAAGGTTTAATTGCTAACAGATCTAAACAAACATTCAAAGATTGATACTTCAGGACCATTTAGGATTTCAGGTGTATCAGAAAGGTATTTAGAAACCTTTACATAAGAATAAATTAAGATTTCAGATATAACCAGTGCGATTCCATTATTTAGGCCATAAGGAGTATTTCAGACACTTTGATTTTTAGTGGATGCTTAGCAACTTAATCTAATAAGAGTGAAACGATGATTTATAGTTTTCAAGATTCATGTCAATTTATCAGGATATCGGGTCAACTCAAGCTGAATAAATCCCAATATTGTGATACATGTCAACCACTTGAATCGATACACTTCAAGAATATTCACACTTTAATACTGACAACACTAGTCGAACTGATCATCTTCAGAACCATCGTTGAACGGATCTTGAGAAACTGTATGTATTCTGGTGGTATTTGTTTTATTTATGTATTAATACAATCTTCAAGATGATCGACATAATTGGGTGTCTCCAAAACCTTTAGGGGTCATTAAAATATTTAATGATTCATTAGTACTTTCAAAACTTGTCTACACACATTTCCTTAAACTATATCAATAGGGTATTTGGGTCATTTCAATACTCAGGGTTAGTATAGTAATTCTCTTTTGATTCAGTCTTATCATATAATTCAACCATTTCAAATCATTCAGACGTGACTGATACCTTGGTTAGTTTAGTCTTCAAGGGTTTTCTTAGGAACATAACTCTAAGTATGCTTTTCCACTTCGGAAGTAAAACTTGATTATCAGGGGTTATTTTAGTTATTACGGATCTTGAGGTCAATTGATTTATTGATTAATCAATGAACTTGAAATTTACCGTTTTAATGGTCTTCTAATTTCTTATGCGAGTCGAGTGTTATACAATTTACTAAATTTTTATTGAATTTAGTTCGAGTCCAGCAATAATTAACTATAAAAAATTGTCCAATAAAATTCATTCATGTAATAACCAATATCAACATGTTCTGTAAAGCATGCAAATAGCAGTAATGTATTACCTTGATTTACTAGCCACATCGATCAACCATTTAAACTCCATTCGATTACCCTCGAACTTTAAGTCCACATCCCATAAAGTCGGATACATAACAAAAGAATTTACGTCAGAAACAAAACTTAAACATGAAACTTCGTATCAAATTGGGAGATAAAACATCAAAGAATAGCTTATCGGGTTTGAATTTGGCAAAACGAACTTCTGATTCATACTTAAGGTGTTAAAAAACATAAAATAAGATTTTTTTTAAAATTTTGATTTTTTTGTCAAAGTCAACGGGTCAACGATTAAGGTCAAAATCAACAGTCTAGTCAACGATCCAGGTCAATAGTTAACGGTCAATGGCTTGACTCGACGGATTGACTCACAAGTTGACTCAATTGGCTCGATCAACTCATTCTGAGTTGAATCAGTTTTCTAGAAAACACTGCAAGGACAAACGCCACACACGACGAAGACGGGTAGAAGCACGTGCAACGGGCGACGAGGACAAGGACGACGGTCGAACGCTCAGAAGATAGCCAAACACCCAAAATCAATCTACAACAACATCAAAACAACCAAAAGTCGAGGAAAATTAAATATAAAGCAACCTACACTTACCTCAACGATGGTCAAAAGAAGCGACGGCAGGAGGGGAAAAAATCGATTGGGTTTTTGTCAGAACAGGGCAGAGAACCCGATGGCGGTGGCAGTGAGGTGAACGGAGCTCAGGATTGGCGCAGAATCGACAAAACCCGAGGGAGGACCTTTGTTTTTCCAACTAATATTCAATGTGATCTCCACGGCGAACATGGGGTCAAACAGAGCCAGGATGGTATAGTTTTGCTCGGTGAAGGATGATGCTCCGTTTGTTGACGATGGTACGACCCACAAACAATCGTGGTGGTCAAAATCGAAGGGTGACAAAAATGGGGTTCTGACGAAGCTTATCAGGGTTTTCGACATCGACCAACAGTGGTTTTCGACAAATAAATAAAGGGGTTTTGATTGGGGGACGACACCAGTCACGATGGTGCTGGTGGTGCACGACATCGCTGGTCGAACGGTGGCGGAATGGGGATTTTGGTTCAAACATGGAGATAATTTGGGAAAATGATTTGGTGGTTTAAAATATATATGATCAAAACTATTAAAGAATTATTTTACTAGAAATATTTTGAATAGTAACCTAGTATAAATGGGCACGGGTTTAGTGAACTTTCAAGAGGCTCATGTTCAAAACTTGTGAACTACCCAAATTATTTTTCAAACTCATTTTATCATTTTTAATGCAAAAATTAACGACTAAATTCTGCTCCAGGTCCTTGCATTGATTGGAATCTTACAAAGTAGATCTCAAATTCTCACAATTTAACC